AAAGGAGTTGTATAAAAAAGAAGTAGTAGCCAAGTGGGCCAATTTCCACGAGACATCTAAGTGCCCACTACCCCAGTATGCATAGACCTTGGAACATGCTGAGGGGAAAGTATTTTGACCATGAGCAAGATATCAGTACAGTTAACATTGCTCGGGAAGAGATTTTGAAAGCTCTATAGAGACCTAGACCAAAGAGATTGTAAGAAGGCCAACTCTTGTTCCAGTCTTGTTTCTTCACGCAAGAGGACTTCTCGACCAAGGGTGAGCACGGCGCATCTAGCGTGTACTTTGAGCAAGTGTATAGTAGAGAGCGTGTAGCCACAGGTAACGTGCCCAGGAAGTTGTTCTGCAGTCATGCAGTGAGTTCTCACGGAAAGGACATCCCAAGTAAGCTTGCCCCCCTTCTCAGCTTGAATAGGGGGTATTCCGAAGGGCTATCGAACGCTCCAAGGGAGTGTAGTCAAATCCACCCCCAATACCCCGAGCGAACCTTGCTCATTCCCCAGCAGAGGGAAATAAACAACGGGTCACTTTCACACTGTCTGGAATTATGTGGTCGTTTTACAGTAGTGCCAGTCGGAACATTTATTTCTGAACTAGGAAAGTGGACGGGTGCAAAAGCTTGTACGCGGGGTATGGAGATAGAGTTCGAACCAACCCCAAGAAATCGAAACGGCGGATAAGACACCTATTTTCACTAAGCTGTAACAGGATATCCAACCCACCTCGAATGCGGAATCTGTCCCCACTTGAGCAGGGAGGGGAGGGTTAGACAGAAGCGTGCGCCCCAGCATAAAGATGTCCAGCAGGGACCATCACCATCCAGGTTCATCGTTCTATCGCTGGCATCAATCGACTGCAAATCACACTCACCTCTGTCCTTCAGCACATCTAGACGAGAACCATGGCTTTCGGAGTCCTTGAGCCAAGGGACACCTCTGCGCATGTACCTGGCACGACCCTGCTCGACATCCACGAGCAGGCCACAGCAGACAGGTCCCGGGTCTTGAAGAAAGGGACTGGTCGGAACAGCCATGTAGTGCTTGTTCCACAGCCATCGGATGACCCAAACGATCCATTGGTACATTCTCGCTTCTCTGTATTCTTCTTTGCGGCAATCATGTCCTGACTGGAGATTATAGAACTGGCCGTTGTGGAAGCGTGACATGCTCTTAGTGATGTTGCTGTGGGGCATTGTTGCAAGTGAGTGTTTTGTTCCCTCTGTTGCTGAACACCAAACGTCAATTACTGTCTTCATCTTACCTGCCTGGTCGGTCCTATTGTGAAGGTGGAGTACTAATATCTATACTTCTAGTCATCGGGGGATTTGGTCCCATGTTCAGCCCCATCGCTGTGCCTATTGTTGAGACGTTCGGGATCTCTTTCCACCAGTTCTCACTTCTAGGTGGTTACTCTCTTCTCTCCACCGGTGCTATCGGTCTTTTTGTTGCAGCTGGCACCAGAAAGTTTGGAAAGCGCCCTCTTTGGATCCTATCCTCAATTGCTGCCTTTGTAGGCACCATTTGGGGTGCTGCGGCTCAATCTTACGGCTCGTTTATGGGTTCACGTATCATTCAAGGGATCAGCGAGGCCTTCTTTGAGAGTGTCACCTACGCTTTCATCGGAGACTTGTATTTCGTCCATGAACGAGGTACACGAACAGCCGCCGTGGTCATCTGTTACCAGGCACTCTCCTCATTTCCTCCTCTCGTCGGAGGTGTGGTAACTCGGGATCTCGGGTGGCGTTGGTGTTTCTGGCTATTAGGAATCTTCCTTGGCATCGGCACACTCCTTGTCATCTTCTTCGGTTTCGAAACTGCTTATAAACGTGAGGCTATTGACGCGAGCAATGTCACCAACGACGAGGTGAGATTATCTTTGTTCTTTCACCAACGCTTATCATACTAATCTCTTTATCTCTAGGATGTTACAAGGCTAGAAGAGCTTAAGGGCTCTGTCCCTACGCATACAGAGGAGGTTGAAGCATTTACGATATCACGTCAGCCGTATATCTCAAGGCTGAAGCCTGTTCAAGGAGTGTACAGCAAGGACTCACTGCTTAAACTAATCCTCACACCACTCGGAACTTTGGCGAATCCAGCGGCACTCTGGGCTATAATCACGCTTGCATTTCCCGTCCTATGGCTGGTCGGTATTATGCTTGTCATCGCGTCCATCTTTTCGGTACCACCATACAATCTGAACCCTGTGGAATTGGGATATATGTGGGCTGGGCGTAAGTTCTAAGCCAAATATCCTACCCTCGATTGCACAAGTTATTGTATGATTAACTTCTCATGTCTGACAGCATTGGTCGTTGCCACCATCGCTTGCTTTATAGCAGGTCCGACCTCTGACTGGAGTGCAAAGTACCTCAGTCGTCGTAACAACGGCAAATACGAGCCAGAATTTCGACTTTTCCAAGTCATTGGAATTCTAGTCTGCGCAGCCCTTGGCTACTTTCTCTTCGGATACCTCATCAGCGTGCAGGGTAGTGTTGTCGGTATCAGCATTGTCTGGGGGCTACAGCTAGTATGTCAACTCACATGAAATTGCTGCAACAGTCGACTAATTTTGTGATAGGCAGCAGCCCAGTTCTCTGCGGTTGTCGTTGGGAGCTACGTCAATGATGCGTACTACAGCATCTCCGTCGAGATCTTCATCATCATCGGCATCGTCAAGAACATCTTGTTCTACTGTTTCTCTCGTATGTACAGCACGGGAATTTCTCCAAGGTTAGAAGAAAGAAAGAAAGAAACTAACTCATCGGTGTCCGTAGTCTTTATCAACGATTGGGTGGCATATCAGGGCCCAAAGAACTTCATGTATACGTAAGTTCTAAACCCCCAACTGGTGACCCTGATGCATACTAACAGTCGGGCAGTATCGGCGGAATTCAAGTCGCTCTTTGCTTTATCACTATTCCGTTGTACATATACGGAAAGAGACTTCGGCTTTGGTGGTCGAAGTTGGCATTTGCAAAACTCCTCATTGCAAATGAGTGAGAAAGACGACGTCAATCTGTGTTGGAGATGGAACGTCTTAGATTTCCTGACACCTGGGAGGAAAGGCATCCGAAGTTCTCAGGAGCAGCAAGTCGAGTGACCTTGACGGGTGCTGCCAGGCTCGAAGGGTCGCATAGGTATATAGCAAATCATATTCCGGCCAGCCCAGTACTGCACAGCATTACAATCCTTTACACCTATAGGGGGACACCAACCGTCCCAAGTAGATAGGACTCTTTTGGCGCATAATATCTTGAGCGATTCGCTGTTACGCATCACCACGTCACCGCGGTTCAACCCCCGAACGTCGTCAACTTACGATGCTCCACCCAGTTACCCGAGAGTTGACGACGGGGTCGCTATTATCTTCATCAACCACTTATTCTTTGTTTGTCGACATCTGGATCTTCGTATCTTCTCAGTTCCAATCTGACCTTTCACCCAATTGAGATCTTGCCTGACTTTGGGATAATCTGGTCCGAGGTGGGTAACTTCTTCCAAAATGTTTGGTGGTTCATTGGTATGGTCAGGGTCTGGAGATGAGGGCGGAGTTGTCCTGCATTTTGTTGCTCAGGGTTGAAAAAGAGTCTTATCTCAAAGGCCTGTCGATTGATATTGTCGTCCTTCATTTCGTCGGACAAGATAGCTACTGAGTTGGGTTTACAAGGTTGGTATCTCGAACTTTGTCCTCTTGTGTTTTGAGAGAGATCTCTCGGGCCTCTTCTGCGCATTGCTCGCGGTGTCGTTCCAGAAGAACCTCCTTAGACCTTTTTGCGTATGTGTTGTTGTGTTCTCGATGATTCGCGTTTTGCGGTTGCCGACAAGTTTGGTAGTATCAATCAACCGTCTCGAGTATCTGCTTTATGTATAACAATGGGGCCATCCTTTTCTCCATTAGAATATCTGTTTTTGGAGGCAATGTCCCATTGCTCATGCTGGACCATCAGTTGCAGTTTTTCATGATCGCAGGATTGATGCGAATAAGGTCCTCGGCCGAGGCTCGATGGATATCGTATATCTATAACGAAAATAGGTAGCCGAAAAGACCACGCATTCCCTTTGAGACTTTGAGAGCTCTTCAAGCTAGATTAGCGGTAACAAATCTCTCGATATGATGTCCCCTGTGCCTTTGATTGTCTGTGAAGGAACGGGAGGGCGGAAGACGGGTTTTTTTTTGAATCGACGACGATGGTCTTGTCTTTTCCGAGCAGCCGTAAAAAATTCGGACAGAGGTGTGCCATCTGTAGAGAGTCAGTTGCGAAGAAAGTGAGCAATGAATAGAAGAATAGAGTAAAATGTGGTTGAATTGTGATCTTTCGAAACCATCCACAACTTGCACACGATTGTTGATCAATGTGCTGTTTTGATCTGATCAAAACAGGAACAATGTAAGCATCTTACTTCATCCATTCCTTGACTCGAAAAGCCATCGCTGCGACAATAGTCTAGACAGTTTCTTCATGCATGCCCCGTGAGTCTTGGCTCGAATCCTCTTGTCTCGTATATATGTGTATATATATACTTTTACCAACTTTGTAGTTGTATCCTGTGAGAAAAGTAATGATTTGAGGCTTGGAAGAAAGCCTCCCTTGTCGTTACTGTAACAGAGGATAACGACTTGTTAGTCTAGTGGCTCGAGATTAGGATGATAGATGGAATGATAGCAAGAAAATGTATGCCCGCGAGAATACTGGGACGTGACCGTTTCCCTCTAGATTGCCTGCCTTTGTTAGTATCAATCACGATTCTCGTGCTGGCCATCATTGAATAGTTGTCTCAGGGTTGTAAACGAGATGATCTCGAAACCCTTCCAGCCATTCTAGAATCATTTCCGTGAATCTAAACTCAGCACTTGCCGTGTTCCGGGTTGGTGGTGTGTGTATATGCAAGGATCAGTCGACGGGATTTCCTATTCAGGAGGTCCGAGATGCCAGGCCGGATATGTCAACAAAAGGCCGAATGCCTTCACCCCAGGTATCACTGCAACTGATACCACGCAACCGGCAAGCTTCAAGCAGGGTTCCCGCCATGCCACAGGGGCTGCGTATGGCATGACTCCTTTCCCCGTATCCTACTATGTGTTGTCTACCCCGGGTTCTCGAGCGCGCGCTCCCGGCTGGAAGACTTGGGTTAGACTACTCTACCTTGGACAAGGCGACTCCCCGGCGGATGCACCCCGGCTGTGTTACGCTGCATGGTTGACGGTATCTGTCCAAGTCCAGCCACCCTATCAGTTCAGTGGCCGATATGCATCCGATTGTTTTCGAGATATTTTCACCGACCATCCAGAGACTCTTACGTACACTACATCCGACCACATGTCCCGTATTCCCGGTTACTATTTCAGCCATGAAGACCGAGAGCACTGTGCATGTGAATTTTGCCAAGTGGATAGGGAATACATCATCTGCGCACACGAAAAACGTTTCAACAGAAAAAAAGAACCCATTCTTCACCACGCCGACAAGAAATTCCTTGAGCCGTTCGGGTGGGAGGCCGAACGTGCTCCGATATTGTATGGGTCAGAAATTTCCCTTGCCTTTTTAAGGCGGGCATCCGGTGGATCATGCCCATGTGCCTAGCGAGGCTTTAAGCAACGACTGTTACAGTCAAAGCGGCAGGGCCCAACGGACTTCCATTTTGGGTAACCCGACGAGTACCAAGCATCAACCTACTCGGTTTGCGGAGACTGCGAAAATTCCGTCATGCTGATCTCTTTCTCCAGCTGCACTGCGCCGCCTCCGCCATGACTGCAACCATGGGTGCATATGGTTGAGGAAACACACCAACAGGTCTGTCGCTATGACATCGATCCCGACGCCACTATCCACTCCGTACTGGAGTCATGGAGTCGATCCGCTTTCTGCTCCACAAGTATCTTTTTCTCGGGATCGCATGGACATTGCAGACAGGCCTTCATCGCTTTCGACTCCCTACATAAAGAGTCGCGCATTTCCCGACCAAGGCACTCTTTCTCGAAGCCACTCATACTGGATTCTGGCCTTGCAACGCGATCAACATGCAACTATTCAAGGGCCGCAGCCGCTACTTGGGCCTTCGTGGCACCAGACTGAACGTCGCCATTGGTGTTATCGCTGGTCTGGATTTCTTGTAAGGAAGCATCTGATTCAGGGCCTGGACATTCGCTGACCATAGTTCTAGGTTATTCGGCTATGACCAAGGTGTGATGGGTGGTCTTTTGACCCTGCCCTCGTTTACAAACGTCTTTCCAGAGATCGATACGACGCAATCTGGCTTAACTAAGAGCCAGGCAAACCACATCTCAACCATCCAAGGTATCTCGGTCGCATCGTACAATGTTGGATGCTTCTGTGGTGCAATCGCATGCATCTGGCTTGGTGAATACTTGGGACGACGCAAGACCATCTTCCTCGGTTCAGCCATCATGGTGATCGGTGCGACTCTTCAATGTACAGCTTTCAGCCTGGCGCATTTCATCGTTGGCCGAATCATCACGGGCATGGGCAATGGTCTCAACACGTCAACCGTGCCTACATGGCAATCCGAGTGCTCAAAGTCGCACCGTCGTGGACAACTTGTCATGGTCGAAGGTGCTTTGATTACTGGCGGTATCTGCATCTCATACTGGATTGATTTCGCCTTTTCTTTCTTGGACAGCCAGGCTTCATGGCGCTTCCCTATCGCATTCCAAATCGTCTTTGCTCTCATCATCCTTGTGTTCATCTTGGAGCTTCCAGAATCGCCCAGATGGTTGATACTCAAGGGACATGAGCAAGAGGCCGTCGAAGTGCTTGCCGCTCTCTCCGAGAAGTCGGTCGAAGACAGATATATCGCTGCTGAATTCTCTGCCATCAAAGATACCGTCCTTGAGCAGCAAAAAGCAACTTTCCGCGACTTATTCACCATGGATGAGGATCGCCACTTCCATCGCGTTGCATTGGCATATGTCAATCAAGTCTTCCAACAAATCTCTGGTATCAACGTGAGTCCTCCACATCCTTGTCTATGATAGTACCAAGGCTAATCTAGCGCAGTTGATCACATACTATGCTGCCACCATCTACCAGAACGAGATTGGGTTGACGCCTTTCATCTCACGAATTCTTGCTGCGTGCAACGGAACCGAGTACTTTTTGGCCTCTTGGATCGCCGTCTTCATCATCGAGAAAGTCGGTCGTCGGAAGCTCATGTTGGTCGGAGCCGCTGGCATGTCCATCTCCATGATTATTCTTGCCGTCATGACGAAGATTGGCGGAACCGCTTGCGGTATCGTGGCCGCGACCTTTTTGTTCGTCTTCAATACCTTCTTCGCAATTGGATGGCTCGGTATGACATGGTTATATCCAGCTGAGATTGTGCCTTTGCGCATTCGAGCTCCTTCCAATGCCCTGAGTACCAGTGCCAACTGGGCATTCAATTTCATGGTTGTGATGATCACCCCTGTGTCCTTTTCCAGCATTGGATACAAAACCTATATCATCTTTGCTGTCATGTGAGTCATACTTGTTGGATTATGCCGCTTCTCTGATGCTGATTGAACCTCTAGCAACGCCTTCATCTTCCCTGTCGTCTATTTCTTCTACCCGGAAACCGCTTATCGATCTCTTGAAGAGATGGACACAATCTTCCACAAGACCAAAAATATCTTCACTGTAGTATGGACCGCGAAGAACGAACCTCATCGCTATGGCAAGAATGGTGAAGTCTTGATTGATTATGAGGAAACCGAAGAGCACCAGCGAAGAGCGAGCACGGCTGAACGCAGGGCTAGTGTCCTCAGTCAGGACAAGCTTGACCCCGAGAAGGCGGCTCAGCGCCAGAGAGAGACTTACCGAGGCAACCCTGGTGGCCCTGCTCCATTTGGTGCATAAGGAATGGGGCAGCAGGACTGCCAGGACATGACAGTATCGATCAAATAGCCATGGGACACAAGTCAGCAAAAGTCAATAGAGGGTCATGGCTTGATTAGTCATATAGTCAAATGCGAATCGAGGACTGTCTATTCAATCATCCTCACGTTCATGATCTCGGTGTATCTTGAGACTCCATCGATATCGGCACGATGATCAGCAGCAACCAAACTTGTAGTCAGCGAGAGAATAGATACTAGATTCTACCATTAACCGGAGAGGGAAGTTTTTGGTCCATGTAGCAGCAGACGGAGTGCTCGGAACCTCCGTGTCTCTCATTCCCCGCATCATTGAGTGAAATTGACTTGCTAAAGACAACGACGATATGTAAGCACCTTTATTTCCAATTGCACCGTCACACTTGTTGCAGTGTAATCAATTGAACGGATCAGATCTTTATTTCCTCGGAAGCGCGTATATCCATCGAGCGCCGGCCAGCTCCTCTCGATTCCCGTCTAATCAGCACATCTGACTAATTGATCTGTCGCATCGGTGGCTTGATATCGCGTGCTCACCCTCCAATTACCACAAAGGTTTATATCAACGACGACTTCTACCTGCTTGAAACTACAATTCTTTCGTCAGGAACCAGGGTTTTGTAAAAGCTGGCGTCCAGGTCACTACCGCGACTTCTCCTCGCCCGGGACCACCTTTCCTCGTGGAATCAGTTCAAGCCATCGTCACGCAAAATGTCCGGGTGAGTGATTGGGACCTTTCACATGCCTCGTCTGCCTAAGCTGTGCTGACAAGTATTCGATTTCCAGTCTAGCAGATCTAGCTTCTAAACTCTTCAACCCCAAGGCGGAATTCCGGCCCCAGATTGTCCCCACGACCAAGCGAGTCCGCGGTGTTTTGAATGGCAAGTACATTTTCGATACAACCGACGCGAAATTGGTGTGGGAGCACCAATATTTCCCTTACTACTGGATCCCAAAGGCCGATTTCCTGGAGACGGCCACCTTTGAACAAGACAAACCCATCTCTGGCATCGACTCGTCGACTTCGAAGCTGTCGGTCGGTGACAAATGGGTCCCTGCGCTGATCGTTCCGGAGTCATTCAATTCCGACCTCGCAAACCACGTCAAGGTCGACTTCAAGGCCATCGATGCGTGGTACGAGGAACAAGCGCAGGTCCTTTATCACCCCAAAGACCCTTTTCATCGGGTGGACATTCTCCCGTCCGGACGCAAGGTGCGCGTTGAGATTGACGGGGTCTGTCTGGCCGACACGGGCTCAGATGGAGGTGTCATGTCGCTGTGGGAGACCAAGTTCCCCGGCAGATGGTACCTTCCTCGAACCGCCGTCAAGTGGGAATATCTCACGCCCAGTGAGACACACACGGGCTGTCCATACAAAGGAGAGGCGAGTTACTACAATGCCACTGTGAATGGAAAGGAATACAAGGACGTGGTTTGGTGGTATAAGAATCCCATGTTGGAGAGTGTACAGATCAGTGGGATGTTGTGCTTCTATCCTGACAAGGTTGATACCTGGGTGGATGGGAAGCCATTGGAAAAGATTGGTATGCCTGGATCAATAGGCAAGAAGTAGGATGAAGACCACTTGGGCTTGTAGGCAGTAGAAGTAGATAATCACACCTTGTTTTCTTCAAGTCTTCATATTTACTCGGCATGCACACAAGGGTCCTGAAGTGACTGGGGTATTCGTTACCCTCTCTACTCTCTCTCTCTCACGGCGTATCATCGGTTACTGAGTACAAGCAGACAATTCAATATTCGACCACCACATCCGCATCTTCCCCATCACAATTTGGTCCAACTAGTCAAATTGCTCCTCTCCATCTTGGTCTCGGACCCTTGATCCATTCTGGCCTTCAAGCTTAACTGAACTTGGCTTCAACATCATGACGTGGTCGTTGTCTTCCCCGCCTCTTTTGCCCCGTCCTGATCAACACCGACATCCGTATGAGGTCGACGATATCCGTAGCCTGAAGACAATTCAGCGGCAACTCTCCTCGGCTATTTTATTTTACTGTAATAACTATCCAGAATTTTAATGCTTCCACTAACCAAAGCCAGGATGATCCCCGTGATGCCCTGCCCAACTTCAACCTTTCGCCTCCTCTTCCTGTACGAAGTCTTTGTTGTACTCAAGTTTCCACCTTCTTTCAAGGCTAGCATTTTGACCCCGCCTTCAGTGTTGTCGAATCCATGTCCGGAAAATGGACTTTCACTTGATCGACACATTATCGATTACATTTCGGCTACTGTTGATTTCTTTCAATCACCGGCAGTTATTCCCCCATACCCCGTACGAGTAACCGACACATCACATTCCATGTCGTATGTGGGTCACGACCAGCTCGACCCTGGGTGGAACGTATTCCATGCAAAGGCCTCACTCACCAGTGGACTACAAAATGTTGGGATCGTCCTTGTGACCTCGGCTTGAGGGTCTCTGTATTCTTCTCTCCTCTCGTGTGTTTCCTTTGGATGAATATAGACAACCCAAGATGCTTCTATCGTCAACACTTCGACTGCTGGGCTTTCTCTGGGCGGCATTGCTTACCTCTCCCGTCTATGGAGGTCTCATAGCCCGGCAAAACGATGCTCCCACAGTCAAAATCAAGAATGGTAGCTACTTTGGCGTACACAGCTCTTCGTACAATCAGGATTTTTTCCTGGGAATGCCCTTTGCCCAACCACCTGTGGGTGAACTGCGCTTCAATCTACCAAAATCTTTGAACACGACTTGGGATGATTCCAGAAATGCCACTCAGTATGGTTACGAATGCTACGGCTACGGAAGTGACCAGTGGGTACTTGGAAACATTGTCAGTGAGGACTGCCTCACACTCAACGTCATCCGCCCCAGCGGTATGGGACAGAATGCAAGCTTACCAGTGGGAGTATGGATTCACGGCGGCGGCTTCTTCGAAGGAGGAGGTCGAGATCCACGGTACAACCTGAGCAAGATCGTCCAAGCGTCCGCGGAGATGGGAAAGCCATTCATCGGCGTCAGCATCAACTACCGGCTTCAAGCGTTTGGTTATCTCTTTGGCACTGCGGTCATGAAGGCAGGTGTCACCAATCTGGGCTTCCGTGACCAGCGCCTGGCTCTACACTGGGTTCAAGAAAACATCGCCGCGTTCGGCGGAGATCCAAGCCAGGTGACCATCTGGGGAGAGTCCGCTGGAGGTAACTCGGTCGGGACACACCTCATCGCCTACGGTGGACGTGACGACAAGATCTTCCGTGCCGGCATCATGGAGAGCGGTGGGCCGATCCCGTTCGCCCCGAATGTCAACGCCTCGGCCTGGGACAAATACTACAACAACATCACAAAGGCGACCAACTGCAGCTCCGCGTCCGACACGCTGGCCTGTTTGAGGAAAGTGCCCATCCAAAAACTCAGCAACGTCCTCAACAGCAGTGTGACGGCGACGGTGCCCGGGTGGGGAGGGGTCATCGACGGTGACTTTATCAAGGGCTCTATAGCTCAACAACTTCTCGACGGCAAGTTTGTGAAAGTTCCGATCCTGCAGGGCACCAACTTTGACGAGGGGACCTCGTTCGGTGGCAAAGGGATCAACACCACCCAACAATTCCTGGACTATGTCATGTCCACGGGCCCCAACGTGACCACGACCCAGACACTTGCGGCCCTGTACCCGGACATCCCGGGGATCGGGATCCCCGCCACGCTGGACGGTCGACCTACCGGGCCCTGGGCCATGCTGGGCAAACAGTACAAGCGGGCGTCGGCGTACGGCGGCGACCTGAGCATGCAAGCCCCTCGCCGGTTCGCGTCCATGTGCTGGGCTTCCCAGAACGTCAGCGGGTACAGTTACCATTTCAACGTCGTCCCGAACGGCGTGCCGCCCCAGATTGGAGCGACTCATTTCCAGGAGGTCGCATTCGTCTTTGACAACACGGCCGGTCAGGGTTATAACAACTCTGTCGCCGTGGACCCTTTTGCCAATAAGCCGCAATCGTATGATCGATTGGCCAACATAATGACTCGAATGTGGTCGAGTTTCATCACTGACCTTGACCCTAACATGAATAATGGTATGTCTTTGTCTTTTTTTTCCCCTTGATTCTTTTGGACACGTCCACAGACCACGTTGTCTGGTGTGTTGTTTTTGGGTAATGGCAGAGTGTTTGGAGACCCATCTGTACTGACCTTTTTGTTCGAATAGCCACCGACGTACATTGGCCGTCGTATAACCTCACGACGCCACAAAACATCGTCTTTGACACCAACGACACAAACCTGATGTACGCAGAGGACGATTATTACCGTGCCGAGGGCATTGCGTTCATTTCTGAGAATTTCGTCGATGCCTACGGACGCTAGGCTAGCTTGAGACTCACTTTGCTGCGTCGTTGACTTGAGAGATGAACGCGCGCGATGGACGTGGATGTGGAATGCAGAAATCAAGGAGAAGCCATCAAGATCCATTGGGAGAGAGTTACCGGGGACCTAGCGGCAACGTCTATGTGTCTTATATGTGCGTGTCGTATCATAATGATCGAGCTTCCTCTTCCAATTCTTCTCTGCTAAAGACCACCCGGCCCTCGAACCACGTCTGGAGGACCTCCGCGTCCGCGAACTCCCCTTTGCTCAAGTCGTGACTGAAGGCGACAAAGTTGGCCTTCTTGCCCACCTCGATGCTTCCCGTCGTATTCTCCTTGCCCAGCGCTTCGGCCGCCCCTAGCGTCAACAAGTAGCACAAGATTGGCCCACTGACCTCACCCGCCGTCTTGCTTCCGTCGTCGTGGCTCTCTTCTGCTTCCTCTGCCCTAGGACTACCCGTCCTCGTCGCTCTTCTCGGGTCGACCGTGACCTTTCCCACGAGACCGGCCACCGGAGGCAGTAAATTTGGGGTCTTGGTGATGGGGTAATCCGTGCCGATGGTCGTCCTTGCCCCGGCGAGGTGGACCCGGTCGAACTCGTACCGCAACGTGTGGCCGATCTGCTCAAACGTGTCCGCGATGTGGAACACGGAAGGTGACATTTCAGCCGTGACGCGGAGGGCGGCGAGTCTTGAGAAATCGTCTGGAGAACAATAAGCCACGAGGGAAAAAGATTGTATGTGCTTGTATGAGATCCGAAACCGAACAAAAACATGAACTTACCAGGATGAATCGCATTCGAATGTGCAATCTCATGTCTCGGCCCATTGGCATTCCCGGCCCTGACGGCCTGGTAAACGTCCAAGGCCTGCCTCACACTCCCCTCTCCCGCCGCGTGCATCTTGCACGTGAACCCACGCGCGTCGTACCGTCGCACGGCCTCGAGGAGAGTTTCGTCGTCGAAGAACAAGAATTTCTTGTCCGGCACCCCGTGGTCGTCCAAACTGCAGTGCGTCGAGCCCGGTTCGATGGGCGAGCCGTCGAGCCAGAACTTGACGAAGCGGCTGTCGACGTGCCTGCTCCGGAAGGCCTCGGCGACGTCCAGCAGCGCCTCGAGGCTCTGCTTGGTCTCGCAGCTGAAGAACTCGTTCCCGCACACGATGTGGGGGTGCACGTCGAGGTCCAGCCGGTTCTCCTCCTCGAGCTCCCGCAGCGCGTGCAGATACAAGGTGTTGGCGCTCGCCTCCTGGATCGACGTGATCCCGTACCGGTGGCAGGTCTTGATGCTGCGTCGGATGCTTTCCTTGACGATGGCCAACGGCGGAATGGGCAGCTTGGTCCACGCGGCGCCCGTGGCCGTCTCGAAGAGTTCCCCCGTCATGGCGCCGTCCTCGGGCCTGCGGACGAACACGCCCCCGGGCGGCGGCTGGGACGTGTAGGGGTCCAGGTTCATCCGGCGCAGCGCCTCGCTGTTGACAAGTACCTTGTGCCCGCTCATCTCGCGGATCAGGACGGGCGTCGTGGGGAAGACGTCGTCGAGGTACTTGCGGTCCGGCCTGCCCTCAGGGAACAGGCTGGGGAGGTAGAAGTTGCCGACGACCCAGTCGCCCACGATGTGGGCATACCGGCAGTTACACATGTTTCGCTCCAGGTCCGAGGCGATGGACTTTTCGGTCGACTCCCACCCAATGTTGGTCTGCCAGACCTTGCCTTCGCCGGCCATCAGGAGGTGCGTGTGTGCGTCGTGGATCCCCGGCATGACGAACCTGCCGCCGAGGTCGTAGGTGGCCAGGCGACGAGCGTCGGCGACGGCCATGATCTCGGCGTCGTCGCCCACCGCCTCGAAGATGCCGTCCCACGATACCACAAACCCGGTGGCCCACGGCCTGGTCTGGTCGATTGTGAAGACCTTACCGTTTATGTAGGCAACGGCATTGTTGTCGGTTTTGGAAGAGTAGTACTTTGCCATTTCCAGTGAAAATGTGCCAAAAGTTCTTTTGATGGCATGGGGTTGAGTGATTGCGAATGTCGAATGTCACTCCATGCACGGGTCGGAAATCCGTGTCAATTGACATGCTGCCTATTTCGGAACCCGTGTTGTAGTTCGCGGCCAAGGCGCCGATTTGAACGCTAGGTGGCATCTTGTAGGAGAAATCGAAATTCCCGTATCAACTCTGCTATCGTTCCAGTGTGTCATCGAGTAAGTATCCTCATCGCGGAAGTCCAGAAGTGATTCGAAGCGTTATCTAATCGTAGGATGGAGTTGATTGAGGAGTGAGAAGTAGGCCAATTGGAAACTTCGCTTTTGTTTGCCTGTTTGGGACACTTTGGGTCCACCACCTGCAGTGGCAATGGCACACGGGTCTCCCGTTGCCGCAGGGGCGGCCAGCGACTGTTCTGGCTCGCGTTATCCATTACACATCCAAACACTGGATCAGATATGAAGTGGCATGGGTGTTGAGTAGGAGCAACTCTAATGAAGTAGGAATAAAAGTGCCTTTACTGCCCCAACTTGTCTCGTACACTTGGCAGTGCCAGACGTTATTACAATCCTCTGAAAGTGTCCCAGACACCTAGGCAACATGCATCCCCTTGCAGATCTATCAATCTCTGAAGTGACGAAGGCCCGAGATGTTATTCTCTCGCTTCATCCAGGAGAGACAATCGAGTTCCGACAGATTGGAGTCCAAGAGCCCAAGAAGGCGGCGTTGGCCGAATACCTCAAAGTCGAACACAGCAATGGAGACCTGAGCAAGGTCAAACCACCTCCAAGATTGGCCAAGTGCCATTACGATATCTTCTCAATGGGTGCAAAGCCAGTTGAATACCACGAAATCATCGTCAACGTAGAGACCAGTGAAGTGGTCGAGAAGATCGAGATCAGTCCAAGCATCCAGCCAAGCTTGACATTGTACGTCTTCTCATCTGACAGTGTTATCGAGGAAGGAGAGAAATTCATTCTAACTTGCAGCTAGGGGGGAGTTTGACATGCTACTCAAGATTTGCGAGACTGCTCCAGAGTTCAAAGAGGCCTTAGCTGAGCTCAATTTGCCCGATTACATGGAAGTAATCGTCGAGCCGTGGCCATACGGTACTCCAGAAGTGTATGATCCTCCTGGACGGTACTTCCAAGGCGTCGTCTATGCCAAAGACAATCGACAGAATAACCCCGATTCCAACTTCTATCCCTTCCCTGTGCCACTGATCCCGGTGGTGGACATGACCAAACGAAAACTGGTCAAGGTGATTCGACTTCCTCGGGGCGGGACCGAAGATGGAGCTGTACCTAATCCCGCCAAAGTCGATAAGAACCCATTGGCTCACTGCACTACTTCGGAATATGTGCCTGAACTCAGACCGGATGGCGTCCGTAAAGATCTCAAAGATCTCAATGTCATACAGCCCGATGGTCCATCATTCACAGTCGAAGATGAATCTTTGGTGTCATGGCAGAATTGGAGGTTTCGAGTCGGCTTCACCCCGAGAGAAGGAGTAGTCATTCATGACGTACACTATGCTGGCCGTAGCCTGTTCTATCGCCTCTCAATGAGTGAAATGGTAAGCGGTGCCATGTGTTGCGAACAGAGCCACGGCTGACCTCAATCACCCACAGACTGTCCCCTACGCTGATCCACGGGACCCGTTCCATCGCAAGCAAGCCTTTGATTTCGGCGAAGGCGGCGCAGGAATGTGTGCCAACAACCTGGGCCTGGGTTGTGACTGCTTGGGTCATATCAAAGTGAGTTGCCCAAGATCTAGACATTCCGAACATTACACTAAGCACCGAATCGTCCATGAAGTACTTTGACTCTGTCATGGTGAATACACAAGGCAATGTTGTCGTTCAGCCCAACGTGATCTGTCTTCACGAGCAGGACAATGGCATAGGCTGGAAACACACCAACTGGAGAACTGGGCGCGCGGTCGTCACACGTAACCGAGAACTTGTGGTCCAATTCATCTTGACCCTGGCGAACTACGAATATCTATTCGCCTATAAATTCAACCTGGCCGGTGGTATCGACATCGAGGTCCGCGCTACAGGCATCGTGAGCTGCGTGAACATCGAGCCCGGCAAGACCAGCGAGTACGGCAATATCGTCAATCCAGGTGTGCTGGCTCAAAACCATCAGCATATATTTGCGGTCCGAATCGATCCTGCAATCGATGGTCCCAACAACACCGTGGTCCAAGAGGAATCGCTACCCGAGATAATGAATGCTACGACGAACCCAGCTGGAAATGGGTACAAGGTGGTCAGGACGCCGATCACTCGGTCCTCCTGGGCAGACGCTAGTCCCTTGACCAACCGGATCTTCAAGATCACCAATCCATCGATCAAGAATCCCATCAGCGGCAAACCGGTGTCCTACAAGCTGACCCCACCGCCCACGCAGCTCCTTCTGGCTGATACGCGATCGGTCCAGGCCAAGCGAGCAGCATTCGCACAACATCATGTCTGGGTGTCAAAGTACCGTGACGATGAGTTGTGGGCGAACGGACCTTTTCCGTTCCAGAGCACCGGTGAGATAGGAGGTGTTCTGGACATGGTCAGCCGTGGCGAAAACGTCGAAAACGATGATGTCGTCGTCTGGTCTGTGTTTGGCTTGACGCATAACCCGAGAGTCGAGGATTGGCCCGTCATGTGAGTTATTTCTTCCTGTTCTGCGCTACATATATATCCATTGTGTGGCGGCGTTGACTGACACTGATGCGATATCTTAGGCCTGTCGAGATCCATCAAGTTTCACTGAAACCCGTTGACTTTTTCACCGAGAATCCAAGCATCGACGTGCCTAGCAACAGAAATCTTGCGAGTAGAGAGATGGTAACAAGGACGGGGCATTGCTGTGATTCCGAGTCAACGAATGGAGCTACTAATGGGGTCGTCAATGGACACTGAATCACCAGCATAGGATACTCTTGTTGATAATGATAGCTGAACTGTGATCGAGTATGCACCACATGCGAGCAACGATGGAGTGTCTGATTGCACAGAGGTCATTTTAGGTACCTCGAAATACACAATGTTATTAGGTGACTCCTTCTAGTCAAAGCCGATAGGCCCCGAGGATAACTAGAGAGCTGTTCAAGTCTCGAGACCGTTAATTGGCAGACCTTCCCTGAGTGTAACTAGTAGGTCGTTGCCACCAAAGGCCAGGACGTGTAAAGACCACCGGCCCGCTTGCTGGAATTCCGCACCCTACCTGACCCACTTGCTGATATCGATGATATGTAGAGCCGGACCGCAAACGCCCGCCACCTTGGCAAGACCCTTGTTCCCCCTAGCGTCTCTGCTCTCGTGGGCCGGTGCTTCTGATGTTTTGGCGTTGCACATGAATTTAGGGCTCCTCGTGATGGAAGACCGCCGTGCGATTATGTATGTTCCCTGATTAACAATCAGAACTGGCTTGTTGTGATGGATAGCCCGGTCAGCATGTTGTCCCAGTACGTCTCCCCATCAATATCATATGATTCTTTGTTAACTTTTACCAGGTCTGAAGTCGAGAAACACTCTTCGAACCGTAGTTGTTGGGTCATCATACAAGGAAACGTGTACGACCTCACGACCTTTCTGGATGTACATCCGGGGGGAGCGGCCATTATTCTTAAATATGCGGGCAAAGATGCCACTGCGGTCTACGAGCCTCTTCATCCTAGTGATGCAATCACAAAACATCTCACTCCAGAGTCAGTAACTCCTTGTCTCACTATTTGGTTCCGTGTTATGCTTACGCCTTTTGACTGAAAAAGACAGAAACTGGGACCTTTGGTCCAAACACCAGCCCTCTCTGCCCAAGAGTTGGTTTTGAAAAAGGTGCAACCGGCGGCGCCATTGAAGAAGCGGTTCAAGCTGAGCGCCGTGGTGAGCATCGGCGACTTTGAAAGGGCCGCGAACCAAAACCTCGCCCCTCAGGCACTGGCGTGTAAGTCGATGCAGCACCGAGATTGACCAACCGTAACATCTAACGGCGTACATGTCAAGTCATCCAGGCAGGCGCGGATGATGAGGCGGCGAAACGATGGAACGAAAGAAGCTGGCGGACTGTACGTTTTCGACCTCGAGTACTACGACCTGTCAACAATATCGACCTTTCAACGTCAATACTGGGGACGAGATTCTCACTCCCATTCTTCATATCTCCCGCCGGCGGCGGTAAGCTTGCACATCCTCAGGGAGAGGTGCTCATGACCAGGGCCGCGGCCCGGCGCAATGTGCTTCACTGGGTCTGCAACATGGCCAGCTGCACGCAAGAGGAGATCGCCAGCTCCCGAGGCCCTGATCAAAGTATCTTCTGGCAAATATATGCCAAGACTGATCTCACCGCCTCGGAACATGAAATCAAGTTGGCCATCCAGAGAGGGTTCAAAGGCTTCGCGTTGACAGTAGATGCCATTCGCGCAGGGAACAGAGAGCGAGATGTTCGACATGGGATAGAGGAGTTTGAGGAGGTACAAATACGTTTCTCCAATCTCTGGGTGTCTTAATTCTTATTCATGTTTACTGACTCGCCAGGTACAGGTCTCCGAAGGCACAGCAGACAACTCAGATGACTTCACGACACCGGATGGTGGAATTTCAGCCATCAGAGCGTGAGTTTAGCCACGCCTTAAAAGCCCCTTTAGGCCATTCGACGATCTACTGACCTCTCTGCAAACAGGCCCGTCTATTCATCGTTTGACTGGGATAGTGCGATCAGCTGGCTGCGAAGTCAGACTGATCTGCCTATAGCCATCAAAGGGATTCAATGTTGGGAAGATGCAGCCATGTGCATGAAATACAACGTCCACCCTTGGCTCTCAAACCATGGGGGTCGACAGCTTGATGGTGCACCTTCGTCGTTGGAGACCTTGCTCGAGATCCGCAAGAATTGCCCCGAGATCCTGAGCAGGTGCGATGTCATTGTCGACGGCGGGTTCAACCGTGGGTCAGACATCGTCAAGGCTCTCGCCTTGGGTGCAAAGGCCGTGGGCATCGGTAGACCATTCCTGTTCGCCTTGTCATTCGGCGAAGCCGGGATCAGCAAGGCCATCGGGACCTTCAAGAAGGAGATCGAAACCACCCTGGCATTGCTGGGAGTTGAAACCATTGCGCAACTTGATCCGACCTATGTGAGCCACCATTTTTCTTTTTTGACATACGTCTTCCCTTTCTAGTGTCATCTGGTGATCATCAAGCACATTGGACGCTGACACAGGACATGTATAGGTTGACGCGTCGTCTCTACAGTACTCTCAGGCATTGCGGGCACTCTTGTGAGCGAATCTTTGAATCCGTATGTTCCCAAGAGTGGAACGGCCGTTGCTTTCAGGATTGTGTGAGCAATCAGACCGGAAATAGATTTAGATCTCGAATAGAATAGTTACATTGTAGACTACTCCGAGAGAGATGTCGCATGGCAATACCTCCGCCTGATGAAATTTTGACCATTACACGTCTCTAGCCATAGAACCAGAGAGGTTCTGCCGGCTCGATTTATACAGCCCATCACTACAGGAGCGGAGACACATTTCCCCCAAGATGTTTGTACTGGACGAAAAGGAAATTCATTGCTTGGCCTAGATAGGTATCTCTTGCCCATGCCTCACTAGGGGAGGGGGCTTATCTACATGACGAGACCATAGGTAGTACTACCACCACACATTCATCGGGCTCGTTGGGTTTTATGCCACCGCGACAGGTCTCAATGCCGCAGTAGTAGTTTTGCCATCTTCTAGCAGGGACTTCTCCTGCCTTGCTTTGGACAACGCGCTAAACAAAGAGTCACGAGTGCTATGGTCAGCCAAAATTTCACAATTGATCTCAATCGGGATGATTGTTGTTTCACCAACAAGTCCACTTACCCAAATTGTCTTTCTGTGGCTTGAAGAAACCATTCACCGCACGTGACGGCAGGGCTATTGTTCGCATTTGGTCGTCAGCAGGGCCGTTCGGATTGTATGGTAGATATAGGTCCACCAAGTATAGACTGTCGTGGTTGACGTGGGGAGAGACTCACTATGTCTTCTTCGGGCCTTGCATGACCACGTTCTTCCTACCCGTGTTGAAATAGGCAATCGAGTACCGATCAGGGGACGGGCCGACCTCCTTTGCTCGAACACGATGGAAATTGGCCTTGAGACGATCATCGGACCATGCCACTGTGTTTGAGAAAGAGAGGAGAAAAGTCAGCACCCAAGTCAATTTGTAGAGGAAAGGATGAACGTTTGGGAGGGGAAGGGGGAGGGAGACAGGGAGTGGCGGGGGGCAACTCACTTAACATGTCTCCGATATTGACAACGATCGGTCCTGTTTCAGCGGACAATGGCGTGAACGTATCTCCGATGCCGTAAGAGTGGCAGCTCTCACGTCCAGGGCAGATTTCAAGACCGTCCTCACCGTCCCTCTGGAACAAGAGCGTCAAACACCCTATGTCGGTGTGCGTGCCGGCACGCCACGTGCCCGCCGCACCCTTCTCCGAGGCCATGTAGTGCAGCAGGCGGAGCTGAGTGAGGGAGTCTTCGGCATTCACGTCCATTGCCTTGCGGAAGTAGTCTTCCTCGAAGCCCAGTGCGACAGAGAGGCACGAGAGTACCTGGTCGGAAATACGTTCACACTTGGCCATGAACTGGGACGTGGTCTTTCGGAAACCCGGAACCTCCTCATCGGAGGGCCATTGCGAGTTCTTCATCAGCCAGAAGGACTCCTTCTGGTCGATAGCGTTTGTGCTGGGTCGGAGTTGGGACTTTTTGTCGTGCACGAGGAGAAGGGGTTAGCAACTTTTTTTCTCTTTTCAAACCTCTTGCGCCTCGTGTCGAAAACATCAATTTGGGGGGGGAGGAGGAGGAGGCAGTTTCTGATTTTCGCATGGCAATTTTGCTTACCTTGTATTCCCATCCATTGTTGGTCTTGACATCGTGAGGGATACGTGCTTTGACGTCCAGAGGGAGATCGAAATAGGCCTTTGAAATGGCGAATTGGGCCTCTATTTCCTCCCTGGTGATGCCGTGGTCGACCAATTTCAAAAACCCGGCATGTTCGCATGCATCCACCAGCTCCTTGGTGATGATGTCTCGGCGACTTTCGAAATCTACGTGCTCAAATCGTATCAATGATGTGATATTCTTCGTTGATTTTTGTTTGATTGTATTGAAGGGAACGTTACATACCTCGAAGGGATATGGCTGGGACTAATTGTTTCTCTTCCATTTTGGCGTTTGTCAAATCCTTTATCAAACACTCGGAGAATATGCTTTACAGAAAAAGATGGAGGTATTTGACCGTTGTTATATTTGAATCGGTTTTAGTTGTCACTCACACAAAAATCCCAAGGACGTGTCGATGAACGTCTGTATACGCTTTCGGTGCAGGTGTTTACAAGGGCCCGGGGCGCTTGACTCTTGCCATGGCTTGCTGATCTGGCTTCAATGCGTAGCCATCCTTGTGAGGTTGACTTCAAGTTACCTGAACCGGTTTAGTTTGCGGTTAGCTACCAGTTCTTCCCACAACCGTCCCGCAGAACACTGCCGTACGATAGGGGCGGCCGCTACCCCAGTAATCTTTTGGCGTGAACATGGTCAGCTGCACCCCGCGCATTAGCCTAGACATATTTCTTGTGTCGACATGGCGTGTCCATCGTTCCCGATGGCTAAAGGAATAGCCTGTCCTAGAATGCGAGCAGTCTTATTGGGCGGCGATGACCTCTGTCATTGATTTCCTTTGACAAGGTTACGGATATGCTACATTGTTTGGCTGCGGCTGTGCAAGAGTTTAATGCCATGAAGTGAGGATGTGTCATGAATTAGAATGATTGAGCAGGATCTCGGGAGGACCAATCCCTCGGCTGTGTGAGAGAGAAAGGGAGAGAGAGAGACAGAGCATCTTTCCGTTTTCATAGCTCAAATCCACAATCAAACGGCAGCGTTTGTGAGACTTCCATTGCGAAATCATCCCACCATGCCGTATTCCAATTCTCCGCAAGGGTGGTGTCGGATGGAGGTTGCATGTGGTACGTAGAAGCCGAGTAACTCAAAGGGGCCTCCATTGGGGCACGGTATCCGTTGTCTTCGCGGCCAGGAAAGAAATCGTGCGGCACATCATCGCCTGATTGTAGTTGACTGGGCATGTTCGCACCCGGTCCCGGCAGCTCGCCCCTACGCAGTGAGGATGTGTTTCCAGGGGCGAGATGAAGAACCTGCTGCTGGTCAGATGCCTCGTCGGAATCTAGAGAAAGGATATCCATGAGCAAGTTCTGATGGGTCTTTCGGCGTTCAATGGCCCGGTTTTGCCGGTGTCTGTATATTGCTTCCGCAAAACTGTTCATTACATCGTAGTAGCGTTCCGCCTGGGGACTCGCCTTGGTCAACATGTGCAGGACCTCGCGGGACTGTGTGAACGCGTCGCTAACATCAAAGGATGAGTCGTCGGGGATAAGCATGGAAAATCCAAGCACGAGCGAAGTACTGAAGATCCAAGATCTAATGAGCACATTTCAGTTAGCCGCTGACTCTCCAAGTGCCCAAAGCAGAAACAACTCACTTTAGTATGCAGAGATTGTGGATCAGTGAGCCTGGCTTGAGTAGCCGGTGACAATTCTGTGCAACATGGACGCCTGCCCAGACGCATATACGAGCAAGCTTGCTAACGCTAGGGTCCACGCGGGATATATCTGGGGGACTGGACCATGTCGTAGTCGACTGGGAGCAGGTCAGCCTGTACATCAAGAATGGCCGAGTGACAAGCATGACCGCCCAATAGTAAGAGCAAGAGACATGAATGTTTCCAATCAGTGGTTCTTCGCCAGACAGCGTAGATGCTGGCGTGGCAGAGAATTTGCGGAGGCCGTGGGGTAAAGTCGCGCTCAAGGTGTTGAGCTTTTCCAGATACTTCTCGCCCGTATTGACATCAATGCTCTTCGCCTCCAATATATCATGAAATATCTGGTCCATCATGGAGGTGAACCGATAGGTAGCATCCAAGCATAGTTCCCTATGACTGAGAGTCTCTTTGGTGCTGATTTCAAAGGCTTCGGGCTCCACTGACATGGGAGGAGAGGCAGTCAGCCTGCCCATGCTTGTGTTTGTGATGATGTCTATTGTCCTCAAACTCTTCCAGAATCGAGACCTGGGAGACATAGACAGATCAGTTCGTGTATTGTGTACGTTGTGGAGGAAACAATCGGAAGAATCAGAGCTCTAGCATACCTTAAATGTTGTTCAGCACTTGTGGTATTACTATAATGCTCCGGAACGTGCAGCCCGAGAGCATAGGCTGACTTCGCCGCAATACCTATATACATGAAGGCAGCATTGCGACGACAAGCACCTAGCATGTAGAAGGCCATGAGAACAAAGCACCGAGTGATGGCGATGTCCGGATCTTCCACCATGCTTTGGAAAGCAGCCTTTTGTCCCAGGTAGAAATACTTCTTCGCATACTGGAGATCCAATTTGCAGGAAGCGCGGCACTGGGCTCCTATTGCGATTGCAATATAAAGTGCAGCCATCGACTCGTCTGGTATTGTCTCTTCGGCATTGTTGGTCATCGCCATCATGACCGCAAGTTCCTCTTGGTTGTAGACGTCGAGAATACCATTAGACTGTCTGGGGTCAGTAGAACTTCGCCATGTCGGGAGAAGACATACCGCAGCCAGATAGCTCTGAATAAAATTCTGCTTTTCCCTCACATCTTCTGCCGGACTCACTGGCATGCGGTCTAGAAGATCTGTCCTTGGTAAGTGGGCATCGGCGCGATTTTCAGACCATGTTGAGGAGCTGAGGTGTTGAGCTAGCAATTCCCGAAGGTATTGATTGAACGAGAGAGCCACGGCGTCTCCCACGAACTCTACGCTGTGCGATTAGGAGGTTGCCAGCATTTCTTCGGGTCATTCCATACCTCTCTCACCGCGCGAATCCACGAGCATTCGGCTTCTTATGATAATTGGTACTCTAGGTGAAACGGCAGTTTGTGATGACCGTGGGCTCACATCTTCGGGAGCGGTGCTCGATGGAGCATTGGACGCAAGTCTTGACGGCTCCTCAGCAGAGCACGATGCCTGATCTGCAACATCATGACTCTGAAGCTGGTCAACATGCGAATTGGTGCTGGACGAGGTCTTATTCACGCGCCCAGAAGCAATTTGATTGAGCTTGATTCGAGGTCGGTCGAATCTGGGGTAGAAACAAGCATGGGCGATGCCTCTCTTCTCGCAAGTGCCGCAGGGTAGCAGGGCGTCACAACGTCTCTTTGCCGACTTGCAGGGACCACAGGCCTTGACTGCCCTTTGCCTCAACTCGGGAGGAATTGGTGGTCGGGGCATCAGAAAGAATGGACTTCGCACCAAAGGCCAGTCAGTGCCTTGGATGAAGCGGAGGTTGCTTAGAGGGTGTCGGGGGTCATAACGTATCTAAAGGTGGGGTTTGCCTCGACCACAACACCATTTCTTATCGCCTATCAGTATGGGTGACAAACGAGAACTTCTGGCGCGCTCACAGGCGGCCGGGAGACATGACTAAAAGTCTAGGTAATAAATAGGCAACTAGCTTAGGTGTAACTCGGGCGGAGTACAATTTATTCCATTCAGGGTAGATGTCTACCCAGCTGCACTGGTGAATCTGCTATTTCAGCACGAATGGAATGATACTGTTCACTACACAATATGATTCTCCTTCCAACAATCTCGGCACCAGGTCTCCTATGCTTTGGATTCAACCGGGAATCCTTGCACATCAACGTTGCTCATGGACTCGACGCCTTGAAGTTCTTCCGGCGGGCCAGTGTAATATTTACGGGCTCGAGCAGCATACCATGCACCGCCCAATATAACCGTTGATGACAAAACCACGACTGTGTAATTCATTGTCACTTTGTTCACCGGAAGGACAAAGGGAAACTCGAAGAAGATCAGGGTGAATAAAGTCCACCCACACATGACTATGTTAGAAGTCCAACCCAGGGCCTTGCCTAAGCGAAAATCACCAAGCTTAGCTGCTCTGCGACCTTGGCACATGTTGACAAGCACCGGCACGATGAAGGTGAGGTTATTCAGAACCATTGAGGAGGATAGGATGGCACTGAAAGCCGTAGTGTTTCCGATGTAGATAAGTGCGAGCAGTAACTGGATGACCGCTGTCAAGACCGTGGACCAAAGCGGGATGCCGAGCTTCTCGTTGACTTTCGCCCATGTTTTCGAAAACGGGAGGGCGTTGTCTCTTGCAAGGGCCCAATTCAGGCGAACGGTTGCAATGAAGATGTCGAAGAACGCTGGAACTCCCGCGAAGAAGACTACCAGCAAGAGTCCGATGCCGACTGCCTGGCCCCCAGCTTGTCGGTACATTTCAGCGATAGGCAGTCCCGTCTTAGTGGTAAGAACGGCTTCGTAGTTGGTGACGCTGAAGAAGAGGCTGATGATGAAGAAGAGACAAGTGATGCAATTCACCCCTACCACAGCAAGTAGAGCTCGAGGAATTGCCATCGACGGGTGCCTCACTTCTTCCGCAAAATGCACCGCTGCGTCGAAGCCTGAAAAGCCAAAGGCTGGATTAATTAGTCCTATACAGGCCGCAATACCATTGCTGGACCATCCAGTCTGATTGATGAAAGTTGCAAAGACCTGTTTTGCCGATGCTTTTGGGGACGACTTGGCCAGGACCACTATGGCAGACACAAAGCAGCCGGTGGCAGTCCAAGCCAAACCAGCACGCGCGACAAAGGGCATCAAGCGATCGCCGATGGTAGCCATGATAAACGCCACCACGACAAATGCTTCGAAGACCACGAAGGTCATCCATCGCTAGTATTGTGTTAGCTGTGATGGAAGATTGGTTCTAACGTTCCGTGACACACCTCGATGACCAGGTCGTTGTTCGCAAGGCTTGCCAGAGCCATTACACATTGTGCCAGAAACAACCCAGCGCTCGTGGTGCCAAAGATCCAGGCGGCGAGGTTTAACAAGCCTGTGATATAACTGAGTGGTGCTGCCAGCTTCTTCGGAGAAAGCCTGGCTACCCAGTTATACGCGCCAGCTGAGGTAGGGTACGCGCTGGCGAGCTCGCCCAAAGAGAGCGCTGTGAACAGGGCCATGATGGTAACCAGGAGCCATCCGAAAATGATAGTCGGCGGTCCGCCATTGGCAAGACCTGTACCACGGTAATTCTTTTAGCTCGATTTCATCTGGCTGTTTGGAATAAGGCAGCTTACCTGTGATCAAAGCACCACCGACTGCACCCCAGGAATTGCAAACGACAACGGCAACTCCGGCCAGCGCCAAGGGTGAATACTGCCGGCGTAGTTCTGGCTTATAGCCAAGCTCGGCTAGCTTTGAGTCATCGTTGTTTGTGACTTCGACTTGGGTCTTTATGCTATCAGGCATGATGGTGATAAGTGAGAGTGTTTAGTAGCCCTGGGAAGAAGATCAACCTGGCTGATGATGCATATGCGAGGGCATGCGCACGCTGTCCTTTTAACATCGACATCGCCAGCGTATTCCTGTCTTGGGTGGCGGCCTATCGCCAACATTGCAAGTGATAAGGGTGAGTTCGCGGGCGGCGTGGCGTCACCCCCAATAGGCATCGAGGGGTTTAGGTCTCAACGGCCTGGGCTTCTCTGATTGCGAACAATCTGATTGAGTCCGTAGCCGGGACGGATCCACTCCCACTATCTCAGGCCCGCTCGAATGTTAAGATAGGAGCACACCAATTTCCTGTGTTGGCTTGTATCTAAACTTGTCACGACCGTGGTATTATTGAACAGCAAAGAACGCGCGGGAAGCATACCTCAAGTCTGAACTGGGGTTTGGAACCTGGTCGGAAGTTCCTTGACGTGCCGCAGCTGCAACACTAAGCTCTGGCTGTAGCTTTCTTTCAACCAAACGATCTACAGGAGGAAAAATGGATTCTGTATTCGACAAAATCGCCGAGTCTACAGTGACTTTCAATCTGGGTGACGAAGAGGTGAGCATATGTACCACAATATTGTACTTCGCAGCAATATCTGACCCCCGAGCATCTAGACTTGGAGGGAACTTTACGAGCCTTTCTATTCACCCCCACCAGCAAGTGTGAAAGTTGTCAAAGACAGGCAGTACGGCTCCCATGAACGGCATCGCCTTGATGTATACGTCCCAAGTTCCCAGCAAGGAGGAAAACCCGTGCTTCTCTTTGTGCATGGCGGAGGCTTCTTCTCGGGGGATAAAGGCTGGAGTGACAAGGTACGTTGCGGTTTTAGTTTGTCTCTAGTGATGCTCTTATGGCTTGCTAACACGCGGGTACAAGTGCTGGGCCAATATTGGCTATTTCTTTGCCAACGCTGGTATTGTGGTCGTGATTGCAAATCATCGACTGGTTCCCCATGTACAACATCCTGGGGGAGCAGAAGACATCCAAATGGTTCGCGAGTGGATTTATCACAACATCAACTCCCCAGATTATGGCCATGGCGATCCCAACAAAACAGTTCTCTTCGGTCATTCTTCTGGTGGCGCCCATATTGCCACAAATTTGTTCCTGACAAGTAAGCTGTACCAGCCATGCTTTTTCGAGCACCCGTTGACAACAACTAGGCAAGACTCGGGTTTTCCCTCCCGTGGCCGGGGTCATGTTCTTCAGCGTGCCATGGTGGTTTGACACTGTGACTCGACCCATCAGAAAGCGAGTGATAACGCAATACTATGGTTCAGACAATGAGGAAGTTTGGGGGGTGAGATTTTTCCCCGGAGGGCGTCGTCTCAGATGTTTTGTTGCTGATCGGAACGCTACAGCCCCAGTCTCCTCTTGGTCTCTTCCGACAGCTTCCTGCCGATTCGCCATTTCTGTAAGCTCCCACTTGACTGTGTATCAAAGGCCCAAGTCTAATCGTACCAAAACAGAGACTCTGACAAAGTACCTGTGTATGTGGGAACGGTCAAATGGGAAGTGTATGTGAAGTGCCCCGTCGAAGTCAACAACAGCTTCTCAACAAAATCACTGACTGCATATAGCAAGGAGGCCGTGGATTCAAACATGGTGTTCTTCGATGCTTACAGGGCCAAGAGCAAGCCTGCAGGCACTCTACCATTACTCAATGTCCTGGACAAGCACAACCACCTCAGGTATTACTTTTCCTATGATACGGGTCATGACAACAACTGACGCTAGTTTCAAAACAGCAATGTTCTCTCGATTGGAACCGAAGACACGTCTCAAAGCAGTTTGATCCTGGACTTCGTTGACTCCTGTGTTCGCAACGTTGAAAAGCGCGGAGGTGATGCGGCATCCAAACCCAGTCTTTGAGCCCAAGAAGCGGGCTTTAGACCCTTTACACAGATATTTCAGTGGGAGAAAATACATTCCACTCAATCGCTTCACTCAATCGCTTGTGACTGGGTATTTCCAGAGTCATCAAGTCACGTAACGCGCAAAAATGATTAGCTGTTCGTTTCAAAGGATTCGAGGGGCAATGTCCCCACACCCTCAAGGGTGCTGCGGCCCGCAACATCTAATGCCCCGCCCAAGACGTGGGCTCCCTTATCGTGCGAAACTGGAAGTAATAAGAATTTCTCAAGCTTGACCGGGTAGAGTTCTGGATCTTCTCCTCTTCTGACCTAGAGGCCAAATGGCTAATTGACCTTCGCCTAAGTAGTGTTATATAGGTTGTACAAGGTAAAAGTGTTACACGGTCACAACATCAAAAGAAACCACGCCAACACGGCTTCGTAACGATATCCTGACAGGGCTTTACATCATGGGACTTCTTCATACTGCTACCGAGCTGCCAAAACAACTGTTCATTAACAATGAATACGTCGATCCGAAACACTCGGTGAAGCGCAGCTTGTACAACCCCGCAACTGGCGAGCTGGTAGCCGACGATGTCCCTGTCGCTGGAGAGCAGGACGTCGTCTACGCCGTCGACTGCGCCGAGAAGGCATTTCCAGCATGGAAGAAAGTCTCACCGACCCAGCGTCGCGACATACTATTGAAATTTGCCAGTCTGGTCGAAGAACATGCAACGGAGCTCGCAGCAATGACTCGCCTGACGCTCGGTTCTCCCGTCAAATTCAACGAGTTCGAAATCGCATTGGCGGTTGACGCCATGCGCTACTACATAGGCTGGATCGACAAATTCAACGGTGAATCTTTCCCCCAGGATGACGGCTTTCTCAAGATCATCCGCAATGAACCCCTAGGAGTTACGGCAGGTATAGTACCTTGGAACGGACCTTTGATCACACTGGGCATGAAAGGCGCTCCGGCCCTGGTGACTGGCAACTGCTTCATATTCAAACCGTCCGAAAAGACCCCATTTGCTGCAATTGCTCTGGGAGCTTTGGCCAAGGAAGCGGGCTTGCCTCCGGGTGTTTTTCAGGTCCTACCAGGTGACGGGACGACGGGGGCGTTGCTGGCAAGTCATATGCGCGTCCGTAAGATCAGCTTCACGGGTAGCATCGCAACGGGAAAGAAGATTCAAGAATTGGCAGCAAAGTCAAATCTTAAGCGAGTCACCTTGGAATTAGGAGGCAAATCACCTTCGCTTGTCTTCAATGACTGCGATCTTGACAACGCTGTCCGATGGACGGTCGACGGCATCGCCCTGAATGCTGGCCAGGTATGCATGGCGGCTAGTAAGGTGTATGTCCAGGAGGGGATCTATCAAAAGTTCGTGGATAAGTATGTCGCATATATGAAAGAAAAGGCCACCACGATCGGTGATCCACGAGACGAGAAGACAGAGATCGGCCCTCTTGTGGATGAAGGACAGTATAACCGTGTCCGAGGCTTCATCGAACGTGAGAAGCAGGGTAAAGGGAAACTCCTGGTGGGAGGACCACGGGAAGGAGTCAGAGTAAGTTTATCATCCTTCGCGTTTCGGACTACCGATTTCACCTTAAGAAGGCGTCATGGGATCTTGTCAACATCATCACTGATCATTTGGCCTTTTTTTAAACAGGGTTATTACATTGATCCTACAGTCTTCGCAGAGCCAGACCTAGACTCTGAGATTCACACCCAAGAGATCTTTGGGCCCGTATCAGTCATTCATCGCTTCAAGACCGAGGAAGAAGCCTTGGAACTTGCCAACAACTCAGAGTTCGGACTGATGGCGGGAGTCTTCACGCAAGATATCAACAAGGCCTTGAGGGTTGCTTCTGATATTGACAGTGGGATGGTTGGTATCAACTGTGTGACTCTGAATTTCATCACAGCACCATTTGGTGGAAGCAAGCAAAGTGGCATTGGGCGCGAGTGTGGCATCAGCGCATTGAAAGCATTTACTGAACTAAAGACTGTGATGATAAACTTGACATATTAAAGGTCTAGCTAGAGTGTCATGAAAATCCCACGAACAACAGTCCACCTGTCTTGGTCAACGACATACAGTTTCCAGGGTTCCTCATTCCGTAATGCAGTGCAAGGGGGAGGTCTGATCAGTTCTCATGCCGGGGGATAGACGATGCTTCTCCCCGCTAACCCCTCGCACAGGCGAGTCCGACCCCAGGAGCACACAAAACACATTGTGAGCGGACAATCAATGGCGGGAGTCATTTCAGCCTTGACAAATACACACAGCTACCTGCTGTCGCCTTTGCCAACTTATTCCACCGGGTGATTGAAAGGGCTGTTGCGGACCGCGAATCTGCTTGGCAACTTGCATTCAATCTCTGCGAGGTCTGCACGAGTTGCTACCGAGGGTCAGCATCTCAAGGTACAGTATAGATATGGACTTGCCATCAGCGAATGAAGTTGCTATTGAGCAATCACCACCGGTCGCGATGCCAGCCCGCCGCGTGTTGACCTACGCCAGAGAGTGACTGATGGTTGTAGAAAGACGCGGCTCCGCGTTGGCATGTGGGTCTGATAGTGGGCGAACCAACCAGCGGCTTCGCATTCGATGACCAGTTTCGGTTTTGAACACTTATCGGCCATGTGGACCTTCGTTCCAAGCCTTTAGAGGTCCATGGAGAAAAGCTGCTGCACCAAAAGTCCGAGCCGCAAACATAGCTTCGACATGAAGCGTCAAGGCCAGACAGGAAGCGATCGCTATCTTGCCCCTCAACTTGTCGAGGTGAGCACTGGCAAGGTATATTAACTTGCAATACAACGCTGGGCTAGGATGGGAATGGAGGAAGACTTTTGGACTGTCCTAGTTTGCGACGCAAATTCCCAAGTCTTCTCAAGTCGAGATCATCACACTGAAGGGAACAACAGTCATCGCCCAACATGACGGCTGAAGAAGTTCCCATCCCGGGCACAGTGCACCTCATCGACTTGGAGGGCACCATGCAAGCGACTCACGGGTCGGGAGAAAACAAAGATCTCATCCTCATCCCAACACCCACCGTGAGTTCACGAACATTCACATTTGGAAAAAAAGAAGGAGACTAGCTGGCTGACTCGATGTTTGTTTCTTGGGTATCACCTCAGGACGACCCCAACGACCCTCTGACATGGTCTCCCCGACGCAAGTTGCTGGCGCTGTCGTGCATGATCGCGTACATGATGGCGGTGGGAGTCTCCACAGCAGCCATGTACTCGGTCTTTGGTGACATTCAGGCCAACTCGACCTTGACCTTGAACAATCTCAACCAGGGCACAGGATACATGGTAAGCTTGGCTGCGGTCGATGCGCGCTGAAGCATACCACATGCGATGCACATCCGGGCGCTAACATGTGTGCAAAAACAGTTCCTCCTGCTAGGCTGGAGTTGCTTGTTCTGGCAACCGTTTGCACTGCAGTTCGGCAAACGTCCCACGTACCTGATCAGTGTCCTGGGGACCATGGGAACGATGATTTGGGCCCCTTACACCACGAACAATGCGCAGTGGATCGCCAGCAAGATCCTCCAGGGTTTCTTCGGATCGCCCATCGAGAGCCTCTGCGAGATTACCATTACCGATCTGGTCAGTTTGCTTGTCCGATGAATATGTCCTCCAACAAAAGGTCTGCCTGCTGATACTCTTTGCGTGTTCTACTACAGTACTACACTCACCAGAGAGGATTCTACACGGCCGTGTATGCGCTGTCTCTGTCTGGCAGCAACCTCAGCGCTCCCATCATTTCGGGCTTCATTGCCACCGGACAAGGCTGGCGATGGGTTCTGGTGAGTGCTCATGACCGTGGCCCCCTCCCCGTTTCCACTCACATTTTTCCGTTTTGCTGACAAAAGAGTATTTTGAGTAGTACTGGTGCGCCATCCTCTGCGCCATTGTGTTTGTCTTCCTGTTCTTCTTCATGGAGGAGACCAACTTTGTCCGGCTCCACGTTCAAGCCTCTGTGGCCGCCGTCACGGTCGAGGAGGAAGAAAAGCGCCTTGAAAGCACGTCGGTCGAGACGCCTGCGGAAGAAACCAAGGAATCCGCAGTGACCGGCACCAACAACATCGGCTCGATCAACACCTCCGAGCTCGACGAGGGAGTGGTGTCTCAAGACCAACAACAACGACAACGACGGCAACAAAAACCCAAGACGTACCTGACCAAGCTTCAACTCTGGCAAAAGGAGGACCTGCGGAAGGAAAACCACTTCTGGGGCATGGTGAAGCGGCCCCTGATCTACCTGCGCTTCCCCGTCATCGTGTTCTGCGGCTTCTACTACGGGTCCAGCCTGGTGTGGTTCAACGTGCTCAACGCCACCTCGGCGCTCATCCTCTCCGGGACCTACGGGTTCAGCACCAGCATGGTCGGCGTGTCCTACATCGCGCCCCTGCTGGGGGTGTTTGTCGGCGCCGCCTACACCGGCATCTGGGGCAACCGGGTCACCCTGGCCATGGCCCGCCGGAGGGGCGGCATCCTCGAGAGCGAGTACCGCCTCTGGCTCCTCACCCCGGCGATCGTCCTGCTGCCGTTCGGCCTGATCCTCTGGGGCGTCGGGTCCAGCCGGGGGATCCACTGGTTCGGCGCCGTCTTCGCCGCCTTCGTCGTCTCGGGCGCGAGCGCTATCTCCGTCCAGGGCATGTGCAACTACTGCATCGAGTCGTACCGCGCGCTGAGCGGCGAGGCCATCGTCACCGTCATCCTGATCCGGAACACGATGAGCTTCGCCATCGGCTACGGGGTCACGCCCTGGGTCCAGAACCTGGGCCACCAGAACGCCTTCATCGTGGCCGCCGCGGCCGCCATGGTCCAGTGCGCCACGGTCCTGGTCATGATCTGGAAGGGCAAGAGCCTGCGCAAGAAGAGCGCAGCTCGGTATGCCCAGTACGTGGAAAAGATGGCGGCTGTCGGCATGGCTCACTAGCGAGCGAGCGCAGAACCAATTTCACTTTCACGAAGCCTCGTCCGGTGCTGAGGGAAGTTTTCTGTACTTCAGCTGATTGATGTACGAAAATCAAAGCAGAGTTCAAGTATATATTGTGAATGCAGACATGTTTGTCATGTCACGTCCACATGCCATCAAATTTCCTGGCAGGCCGTATTCCGCACATGTTTCGTTCTTAATCAAGCATTCAGAACAAGGGAGCACATTCCTCATGACTACACCGCAAGTCGGACAGAATATCACCGTGTTCGTTTGTGGGGGTTATTAACCGTAGGAAACTTTGGTCAGTTGATCAGCATTTCGCATCCCTTTTCCACGAACACGGTCGTCCAGACCAGATCCTCCCCCCGGTCACGTCTCTCCCAGATTTCTTCCAGAGTCTCACCCAGGACCATGACGGCCGCGATGCCGTTCTTGTGCCGTAGTTGATCTACAACCCCCTGAACCCACTTCCGCTCCTGCTCGCCAGAGCAAAATTGTCCGGCGGTCATGAGCGGGTAAGAACACACGTTGAACAGGCGGCTCTCGGGCGGTATCGCGCTCAATAGTGAAATGATGTGTGACGATAGAGCGGCAAAGTACGCGTCGGATGTGGGAGATGAGGGACCGGAGAGGAGCGGTAGCCGCCTTGCCAGAACGGATGGATACGTATGGTACAGTTCCAGTAGTGCCGCGAACCGATATGCACTGCCCATAATTTGACAGTAGTGTACCAGAGAGTTGTCCTGGTCAATCAAGGAAGAAGATGGGGTCGCGCTGCCAGACACACTGTTGGTGTCGCTCGGTGGCTCAGGGTCCATAGAGTTGATCCATGAGAGAACAACGTCATCTGGAGATGGCGAGTTGGGTAACCCTTCTGAGGCGGAAGCTTGGAGGGTGTATGGCATCGGGCTGAACAGGGCCACCGATTCGGCGTCATCGAAACCACCCAGGCTCTCGTCAGAGAAACAACTCTCACCGGCATATCCGTGCCGACCCTCCAGTAAAGAAGCTTCAATGGCTAGCACGATCTCTTCGCGGCGTTTTGTCCACTTTCCAAAAGGGACCTGTCGAGCCAACGCGTTCAACTGACATATCGCAGGCAATACCTCCGACCAAGATCCCAAAAGAACGTCGACCCTCCCATCACACACCTTTTCGACCCAAACAGAATCCTGCACTGCGATGTGCGGCCGTGGTACATAGATTCGAGACGTCATGCTGGTCAACATCTCCAACCACCCCAGCAGTCTGATGAAGCAGGCCGGAATGGTGTCGAGCAATCCAGCCCGCACTTCGAACAATTGCCTCACAGCCTCGAGATAGACCAAGCCACAAGCGTTGGGATTGAAATAGCTCTACACAATCGTTCAAGATCTTTAGACGTGCATTACGAGACTTTTGTTTTGGGAATGGACTCACTTCTGTTGCCGCAAGCATGAGACAGGTCACTGCAGTCTCGTGTCCGGCCCTGACGGAACGGACCTTCTCCCTAACAGTAGCAACGGCCTGTGATCGCAGGGCCACTGCGTAATCCGGAATGTTGGTGTCGTTCCGGCTGTTGGACTGGTGAAGACAAGCGATAGCGGCCAGGACTTGCGTGAGAGGTCCATCCGTCGACATGTAAGGCAGCAGCGCCGCGCCAAACGGGTCATCAGGCCCATCGCAGATGGTGAAAATTGGCACGACAGATGAGAAGTAATGCCCGATGTAGAAGGAGCGTACCTGAGAAGATAAACTCACCTGGCGAAGCGGGCTCGCGCAGATGGAATCCCGTGACCTTTGTCGATCAAGAGATTCACTGTCAAAAGTGGTTTCAAAGCTATCGCGACAGCTATTGTCACTGGGAGTTGAGACTTCTACATCTCTCATCGCAGTATCGGTGTTGTCAAGATCCCAGCATCGTTCAAATCCATATTGGATGGCTTCTGAATAGTCGTAGTCTGGACCGCGGGGCGGATAGGATCCCGGAGAGAAAGAAGCATTGCCGATGGCTGCCCTTGTGGTCTTCATTCTAGCGAATGAAGCCCTTTGAGGGTCGAGGGGAACACATTTGCCCGCGGTGAAGTCTTCTTCTCCGGTAATGCACTGCTTAGGCAAGCTTCGTCGGTGCTTCGTTGGACTCTTGTCGGAAACCTGGTCAATTGTCGTATCTGTGCGCCATTTGAGGGGTGCTGTAGTTTTGGGCCCGGGGCATTCCAGACCACGCTTTAAGCATCTCGCACAGCTTGGAATTGTTCCATCGCATTTGATGCGGCGCTGCTTGCATGTATCGCACCCTTGAAGTCAGAGTCAGCAAAGATGTTTGTGATCTTGCGAGCACGGCTGCGGGCTTACCCAGTCGGCTCTTTCGACAACGCGGGGGGAGCGTCGTCTGTGCCGACTTCCCACTTGTCAAGATTTGGGGGACTGTGAACAACACAGACTGACGGTCCTTTTCGTTCAACATGTTCGCTTACGAGGACTGTAACATGATACAGGGTATTTTGGCGCTATATGCTCGTCCTCAAGGAGGCCAGATGCCGGTTGTCAAGAGGTTGGGAAGCAGAATGAGGGGAAAGAAGACGAAAGAGAAGAAGTCAATGATAGGACCCTTAGCTCTAGAAGAGTTGGGGTCCCATCGACATCCGAGACCCTTGTTCGATAAGCGGGCATCCGCCCAGTCCCAGGCGTCGTAATGTGGATGTGAAAAGGGCCCAGAGCTCATATCAGATCTTAGTGTTATCAGCCAGTTTCTTTATCAATTGTGTACTCGTATCATGCTTACCGGATTTTTTAATCTAACCACCATGAGCGGTTTGTCTACCTGAGAGAAGAAGTGTAGCATCTTGTGTTTTAGGAACCACCAAAAAGATTGAATGATCATTCGATCTTCGGTTTGTGGAAATGAGGTTTCTCAAGATGATTTTTTTGACTAGCCAGGCAGAAAGAAAGTGCAGGGTCCCATTCCTATTATTTCGTCCGGAAGAGTTGATGATTCCTAATGTCAGGATAGCCCTCCCCCTTCCCCCAAAGTACCATACCCACCAGTTTGTAGTCCGGGCTGATTGCATTCTTGAACAGCTTGGTAATAAATTTTATTATTGGTTCGCCCTTTATATTCTTCTTTGGCCAACTCCATCATCGTCCCAGCACTCCTCTGTCAGTCACGATGCTCTCGCCCGTGATGAAATTGCTAGCACGGCTTGCCGCCAGAAACACCATCAGGGTAGCCCCATCGTCTCGACTAGGAGCGCTTCAGGACAGAGCCAATATTCGCATCAGACCAGACTCGGCATGAAGGCATGATCCATGCGAGTCGACGAGGACCACCCTTCACGTCATGAATCAGTAGTATGCTGACGACGAGTACGAATCTGGAGTCATCCAAGATTCGATACCAGAAGCAAAATTGAGTAAGTCAAATCCACCAACAGGCATGAATGAGTTCGTTTGCGGGTGTCCAAAATTCCACCAAGATTGTTGTTGTTGTTGTTGTTGTTCTGGAACAATTTGTTCGCAATGTCCATTATCAGGAGGCGAAGAAGATGTATTCAATGCCATGGTCGTGGATCTGGACGATGATACATTATTACTCCTCGTTTGGGTTTGAGTATGTGTTTGTGTCTGAGTCTGTTGGTGCTGCGCCGAAGAAGCCAAAGCCTGTGAGTGTGACAGTGACAGTGATTTCGACAGTGACTGTTTGACTGCAGCCACATATCGAGCTTTCATCGCTTCCCACCTGACAATGATACTTCCGAACCAGTCAAAAAGACCATCGACTGAAGCCATCTGACTTGCCACGGTCTGGACACGTTTCGTCATTATCTCGAAATAATTTTCGACCTTGATGATTGATCTGGCAATCTGGACGTTCCACTCTGTCGTATCTATACACAAAGAAGCTGTCGTGGCCAGCATGAACGAATAATGTAACAGTGTCCACTGAGTGGCACTCAGACTGGGTAAGCGAGAGTCCGGTATCTCCAAAAACATGTCGAGGTATGTCCTTGTACTCTCCAAACTGTCGACCAGTATCCGGACGTGTGACAATGAAAGACTTGAATTCCAAGAAATACCGGAAAGTCCAATTTCTCGAGCTAAAGCTTCTACTATCCAAGGCAATAGTTGTTTGCAAGCTTTGGCATGGTTGTCAGTCAGTTGGTCCACAAGACATACACAATAATCAGAGCCCATGTAGGAATCCAGTGCAACACTTACGATTTTCTCTTAGAGACGCAGGAGCACGGGCATGCCAGTCTCGAAGTTTGGATGAAAATGTGTTCAAATAAAGTTGTAGTTGATCATCATCCATATGATGACTTTGTTTGTTGTCACTATAATTGAACAAAGTAAAAACCTGATCGGCTTCATGTGTCAATTCCAAAACGTGTATTAGATCCGTGTCGGTTTTGGCTTCTTTGGTAGCAGCCAGGGACAAAGCACACGTCCTCATGTAGTCGTTGTAGGCCAAAGGACTCGCCTTTCGACACATTACCGAATACCTAACAACACAATAGGTGTTAGAGATGAGTCATAGTCTTCGATGTTCAAGCGTTGCATGGGAACAGAGGGCTGAGTACGGAGTGGTGTAATTACTCACCAAGTGGCAAGGTGATAACATCCCAAACATGCCCTTTTCGCATCGTTACTCCAATCATCGGCAACATCCCTAGACACCAAACTTTCGGGGGTATCATGAAAAGTCTCGACGGTCATATCTCGATGTTGATGTTTACCGGGCCTTCGTGTGATGCCGAAATCGATCGCCGCAGTACTCGCGATCGCCATTAAACGATATGCTTGTTGTGAATGAGGTGTGACATGAAAATGATACCTGTTCGAAGAACAGAATGAACAAGAGATGAGTATAGCCTCATAAGTGAGATCATATGACACAGTCTCGGGGAGAGACCTAAACTCACCAATTCAAATACACCAATAACCCTTGGAGTAGGTCGAGGTTCCTTGTTCCTTGGACGATGACGGCGATGCTCAACCTTTCGAGGAATATTTTGTTCAAGGTCTCCTGTAAAGGTCGATTCCTCCAAGAAGTACTGACCATGATCGCCAACAACAACAATGGACTGTCTCTTCTGAGTTTAGAGATGGTCATATGATAACCCAGCACGACATAAGGGAAGGTTTCCGCAAAATGAAGTCTGTATTCGACAAGAAGGAGATCCGCTTGGGAAAGTGACAAGACATGGTCACTGATGAAATCTTTTTGGTCTGCGAGAGACGATTTCGGGGTTGTGGTCGATGTCATCGAAGTTGAAGGTGAACGTGGTGGACTTCTTCTCCTATGATTCTCTGGATCTGCCGAGCCGTTGTCGTCGTTGACTGGTTTCGGAAGCAAAGTCATGAATCTTTCGATTTTGTGTTCGAGTTGTTCTATCCTTCTTTCAAAGACGACTGAATGAAGTAACAACGAGTCAGTGAAAGAACTTGGATTGGTTTCCCGGTTCTCCGTCTCACCTTTCTTTCTACGTTCTCTAGGTCTGTGTTCAGGTATGACACAATCCAGTTTCCTCTGTGTACATCTGAACGAGGTTGTTGGAAAATGTCAGAGTTGTGGTCCAACAAGAGACGTAGAAACATAATCCCAAAACAACCGATATGGAGACAGAATTCGCTTTCGGGCTGGCCGACGGGGATTGAAGTGGGTTTTGGGTATATATAACTCACCTTTGACATATCCATGGTGGACTACTACTCATGAGACATCGGAGCTTCTTTGCCTTGCAGGCAGAACAAGCTCTTGGAGTATGTGGGAGAGGTTGCTTATCAGCCATTTTACCAGAGAGCGCGTTGGTACCGGATCTCCCGGTTTTCGTTACTGTTCATGTGCGGACGGATAATAAAAAGTTAACAACCGCAGGCAAAAAGAGGTGGCCGAAAAGTGTTTGGGTCTTGGATCCTCTTTCCCTCCCTTCACACCTGAGAACTCGCGGGCTTTCCAATCTCGCCTTTGTTAATAACACTCTGTAACAAGTGTGATCGAAGTTCGTGGTATGTTTAAAGCCTCGTCGCGCTTTCGGCCTTTCGGAGGTTCCGAACGTCCTTGATATTCCGCCCGCAGAGCCTCCGGAGTCCCGTTGTAGCCGTGCAGGGCGATATTTGAGGTCATTCCTTTCTAAGGCTGCAAGAGCTTGTACTTTGGATAACTGTTCTGGTCGAGCAACATCAATCGATAGGACTGGGAGCTCTCAACAATGAGAATCTTGATCGAGGTCACTAAGGTAATTCATTGTGGACCCACTGGCTATACGCGACTATTCCCGGCATCGATGTCCCAATAGACTGGCTGCCTACATTTACCTTCTCTTCCTGAATATTCTTTATTTGCACTGATGTGATGCCTGTCTATTTATCTATTCCTATATCTATACATTGGGTGTGCAAGGTTATATCTTGTCTTCTCCGGCTCGAGGTTGGACATCGATCTTGACCTCGTCCATCTCGGCCTGTCTTCCATGCGCTCTACTACTTCTTGAGAAAAGGCCTAACTGCAAGCATCTGAATCTACTCCTCTCCGGAGTAGGCATATTTAGAATGTTTGCGAATCGCCGCTCCGTACCTATAGAATCCCAGAGGAATCAAGCAGCAGACCAAAGCAATGAACCCAAGCAGCGAGGAGCCCCATTGATCTATATATTCGTCAGTAATGATGCCCAAAAAGTGTGGAATTTCGGAGGTTTGGGGAATAACCACATACATCCGAGATTGTGGTACATCTGTGTAGTGAAGAGAACGGTTGACCCTCCCCAAAGTGATCTGATAAGTGTTTTTGCAGCCAATGCAGAAGCCGCCGTGTGTTGATAAGAGTCGACGATATAGTTGTTGAAAGAATTGTACACGAACACAAAACCCACGCCGATTGGAAATCCAGAGAGACAAGGTCCAACCCAGCTCAAGTGCGGATAGGAAGTCCACGCGAACTATTTTGGGAACATTAGTATTGGTAATATCCAGACGAAAAAATCCGAACGAGATAGTTTTGATCGACTTACGATGAAAACACCCATTGGAATCGTCCAACTGGCAGATATCATAGGGATAAGTCGCAACTCCGGAGGAGGGAGACCCTCATACTTTGCTCGAAGACTCAGGTAGTGCCTGTTGACAAACGGCGTGAATACTAAGCCCACGGAAATGCCGACCGTCAAAGGGAGGAACATCAGTCCAGTGATACCTGCCGAATATCCTTTACCTTCTTGGAATACGATAGGGTATCTGTTCTATCAGTCAACCAAAGCCATGACTAAAGTATGGACATGCTTACGCCACGAAGAACATGTACAGCAGACCGTAGAGAATTGCCGCGTACAATGACATCAGGGTGACAATTGGTTCAGTAAATAAGAGCTTCAGAGGTCGGGTGAGATAGACTTGAGCAATGTGACCAAACGAGTGATGCATGAGATCGTGTTCCGCCACGTAGCAGTCGTCGCTCGTGGTTTTACGCAGCTTCTTTGCTCTGCGGGAGAGGATCACCGGTGCATATGTCTCGGGCACAAAGAGAATCATCTACACACGTCAGTTTCGTTGCCTTGTAAAAGAATGAAGTAGAAAGAGATCGGTCTCGCCACAAGAAAAATCACACTTACAGCAACGTAAAGAGCGCCTGTCACGATCAACTGTAAATAGTATAGCCACCGCCAGCCCAATGACTCGTATGTGAAGCCACCGATCAAGGGACCTATCGGCCGATTAGAAAGATGGGCCATTTGTGACTCAGGTGGAAAGACTTACCAAACACTGGACCTAGAAAAGGTCTAAACAGTGTAAGATGCAAGGACTCGTATGACAACAGCCAGTGTGAGCAAAAACTTACGCTGCGCTGAAAGCCGCCATTGGGACACCTCTCTCTTCGGGACGCCACAAGTCTGCAAGGCTACCACCAATCTACAAGGCAATAGTATTAGTGTGCTGTTATGTAGATCATTGAGGATGCGTGGGTTGTGCGAGATCAACTCACATTTGCAACCGGGACACTGATAGCAATGCCGCCAATGGCACGACACACGAGCAAAGTCTGGATGTTTTTGGCCACCGCACATGGGATGATGAAGACGACGGCGACGCCAAACGTGGTCAAGTATATTATCCTTCTGCCATACAGTTCGGAAAGGGGACTAAATATCAGAGCTGTTTCTCGCCAGTCAGTATACTATACTTGCAGACCGTGGTGCTTGAAGAGATGGGGGAAGTAAACGTACGGCCAATTCCAAATCCCATCACAAACAAGGTGACGGTCAACAGAGCTACCTCCTCAGACACATCAAAGTGTGCTGCGACTCCTAGTATGCCTGGTGTGATGACGGCGGAGGAAAACGCCACCGAAAAGCATACCCAGCTAAGCGTCAAGGTTATCAACCACTTGCGTGCTTTGGGAAAGTTCTTTGGATCTTCTGGGTCTCCAGGCCTGAACCTCACCACTTTGTACGCCTTGGAGGTTCCGTCGGGTCCTTCGATATGCTTCAACTCATGGTCATCGACTTGACCTTTCTCGTTCACAGCAGGCTCTTTCTCAATGTCGTCGATGTCTGAGGAAACGACTGGCACTTCTAGAGCCTTGGAGCCGTCGTTGACGTCCGGTCGCCTGAGAAGTTTGATATCAGCTCCCATGTTTGGTGGAAGTCTCATAGCATCGGTCGAGGACTCACCCATGATTCGACGTCTCGAGAGACGGCTTTGGCTGGGACATAGGCATCGATTCCTCCATTTTGAGCTCAATCACGATCGTAGTAATGTGAGAAGGTCCTTTATTTGAAGACTGACAGGGTCTCTTATACCCGCAGAGAATATCGGAGTATCGGCCATCGGACGCAGACAGAATCATCCAAAGACATCAACTTGAAGTCCGCGCCTATGTGAGTCGGCTGCTGTTGTAGTTCGGAAGGCCGAACGTACTCTTGAGGCCGACCATTGTGTCTGTGTCTTGATGTCACACACGCCTGCTATTGGCGCATAGCACATCGAGGTTAGCAACGCTAGAGTCGACATATTGTTCAAGGACCCCCAGTAAGTACTTGATCATGAGGATAGTTGCTCGATGTTGGACAAACTCCACCCGGCCAAGAAATATAGGGGAGATATTGTGCTTCGGCGCGGCTCTTCGGCGCCTCCGATCCAGTATCCGGGTGTGATTGACCGGCAAACCACCAAGTAGGAAACGACCTATTGTTTGTGGATCATTTCAATCAACGTAGGAGAGGTCGATACCCCATTAGTTGATTAGATGCGAAATAGTTCCTATTTTGACACATTGCAAGTGTTTGATTTGATTACATATATGCAAATATATTTATTGCGCTTTCCCAAATTCATAGCGATTTCATCCGTATGCCAAATTCAAACTTCAGTTGTGCGTTCCCTTTGTAGGTGCACCATTGTTGTCTGCCAAAGAATAGCCCGTAGCAGCCTTCACTCCATTGGCGTACCTAGCACTAGGGTCCGTAGCCATGCCGTTGTGGGTGCCGTTAAATTTCATGTTCTTAATACTATCGTACCCCTTGACACCGGTAGCCTTCTCAAGTCTTTGAGCAAGGTCTTCACTAACTTCACGGAAGATGGTGATTTGTCGCTTCAAAATCTCCTTGTTGGGGCAAACTTCCATTTTACCAGAGACGTTGTTGACAAACCGTTCACGAGCCGGCTCGTCAAAGACCTTCTCCCATAATGCTCGGGGAGCATTGAAGTCTTCGGGTCTGATTTGAGACAAGAACGTAATGGCGGTGCCTTGGAAATGGCCATGTGTCTTGTCTAGGTCAACAGAACGCTCCTTGAATTGGATAGGGTCGATCGATGATAGGTAGTTGGATCGGCCACCTTGGTTATAGAAAGCCATGGATCCATCGCGCTGGAAGTTGCCAAATTTGTAGCCTGTACGTGGTGCGTTGACTGGGAGCTGTTGATAATTCACTCCCACGCGGTGTCGGTGAGTGTCGGGGTAGGAGAAGAGTCTTGACTGGAGCACGGGGTCGGCAGAAGGCTCAACACCAGGAGGCATGTGAGATGGGTTGAAGGCAACTTGCTCCACCTCGGCGAAGTAGTTGATGGCATTCTCGTTCAAGGTCATTTCGCCGACCTTGCGGAGAGGGAACTGCTTTTGAGGCCAAACGTGAGTCAGGTCGAACACGTTGATGCCTTGCTTCTCCCAAACATCTTCGGCTTCCTTTGGTGTCATGGTCTGAACCTCGACCGACCACTTGGGGAAATCCCCACGTTCGATCGCCTCGTACAGATCTTTCTGCGAATAGTCTGGAGACTTGTTGGCCGAATCCTCTTGGGTGATAAATTTGGTACCCTGCATGGACTTGAGATGGATCTGGCAGTAGACCCACTGGCCGTCCTTCTTGACGAGCTTGAGTGTGTGACCAGAGTAGCCATGCATGAATCTGTATCCGTCAGGAATACCTCGATCACCCATGAGGATCATGACTTGATGAATAGACTCCGGGTTTTGAGACAAATAGTCCCAGAACATGGTGGAGTCATCAGCATGAGTAAGATGGGTTGATGGATCTCGTTTCTGAGTGTGGATGAAATGGGGGAACTTGGCGGGATCTCTCAAGAAGAAGACTGGAGTGTTGTTGAACACCATATCCCAATTGCCATCCTCAGTCCTGAGTTTAACAGAGAAGCCTCGCGGATCACGAGCGCAGTCATGCGATCCGGATTCGCCACCAACGGTAGAAAATCGAATTGTGATGGGACACTTTTTGCCCTTGGTACCCCAGATGTCTAGCTGAGTCAAGTCATCCGCAGGGTTTGTACACTCGAAGAAACCATGTGCACCGCTGCCCTTGGCATGGACAACGCGCTCGGGGATTCGTTCTCGGTCAAAGTGTGACAGAAGGTCGATCAGGTGAAAATCTTGAAGAAGAAGAGGGCCATTCTCGCCAGCTCTCTGTGCCTCATAGGGGTGGGGCATAGGAGCGCCATTGCTGGTGGCGTAGACGGTGTTCTTTGAAGTAGCCTGTCGGTCCTGCTCGTAAGAGGTGAACTGGTTGGAAACGTGGGACGCAAATGAAGTATCCGCTGACGGAGCCATGATGGTTGACTTGATTGTGTCAATTGGTGCTTGGATGATCCTTTGGACAGATTCCATAAACTGCAGAGATGAAGGTTATATGAATGTATACGAGGAGGCAAGTGCAGCTAGAGAACCCTTCTTCGTTGAGATTTTTAATAAAGCTGGATCCTTAGTATCGAGCACGCATCACGGGCTTTGGTGACGGTTTCAAACTCCACTTACATACACCGTGGCTTCGATAAGTTGCCGTAGCATGACTGAACTGCGTCATGACGTTTACACACTTCGGTTGGCACAGATCCTTCCAATGAGGACGTGGCCAAAACAAATACTGGAGATCGACGATGGATCACCACCAGTTAAAAAGCTTAGACATGAAAACTGAAGCAGCAAAAAGACCCTGAGAGTCGCGTCGGTAGATGCGCATTCAATAATGTTCGTCTTGATTTGGTCCATCAGCGACGTACGTCGGCGGCGAAACAAGTGATATCATCAAATCGGAAGCTAAGGGATCTCAAAGGGTCCCAGAATTTCAAGGGGATTGAAATCCGTCCTCAGATCCACATAATCCTCTTCAGTCCAGATGAGCCAATGATCGAGCATGGATTTGAGCAACCGTCTTCCCCGTGCGTAGGAGCTCGCCTTCCCTCATCGTCCTGGCTGCCTCGCTCAAGATAACCTCATCTGGAAAGAGCGAGGCGAATATTTCGGCGTCTTCGCTGGATATTACCTGGATGGGGCACTTTCAGCGAGATACACGCCGATGAACCTGATCATTGCAGCACAACATCTGTGCTGATGCAAGAACAGTAGTCGGCATATGTACGAGTGTTGTCACTCACCTGCTTCGATGTAGGCTCTGCGGCCTGTCTCAAGTAATGTTTTGGTAGATACACACCCGTCATGGAAGGTATTCATTAACGGATCTGTGAAAGGTGGTGCCACTTGCTGACTATGACTCGAATGACTGGCGTAGGACGGTCATTGTTTGTCGCAACCTACACAGGCTGCCTCGACTCGGGATCCTCAATACCAATTCTAAAATAACATTCTAAGGTCTAATAACTTTTCGTCTTTGGGAGCACAAGTACTGAAATCTACTTGCCAAATCATGATGTGATGCCGTTCGTTGTTGAGCCCACTAGTTGACTGACGCGGACTTTCAACGCCTGCACGTCTTCTACCCTTGTGGCCCATGAGGTCAAGAGTCGAATGATCACCTGACCATCTGGAAGCTGTTCCCAGGTATGAAAGACGAAGTCCTTTTGCAGGGCTTCCACGACTCTTTGGGATAGAATGGGAAAGACATGATTAGTCTCCGTAGTCGCCTGTAACTTGACACCGACTTTGACAAAGTGGGAAGAAATTTCCGCGGCCATCTTGTTGGCGTGTTTTGCGAGGTCGAAGATCAGCTCGTCTTGAAAGAGCTCGGCGAACTGAATGCCCAAGACTCGGCCTTTGGCCAGCAAAGATCCACGTTGCTTCATGTGGTAAGGGAATTCGTCAGCAACAGTCTTGTCCTTGATGACAACCGCCTCGCCCAGCAATGCGCCCATTTTCGTGCCACCAATCCAGAACATGTCGGTGAGGTTGTAAATGTCTTGCAAGGACATGTCATTGGCCGGAGATGTCAAGGCAACAGCGAGTCGAGCACCGTCCATGAAGAGAATGAGGTTGAGACATTTGCAAAGGTCGGCGAGGACCTCCAGTTCCCGTTTAGTGTAGACCGTTCCCGTCTCGGTCGCGTTTGAAATGTATACCATTCGTGGCTTTGGGTTATGGGGGAACATGGAATTCTGGTTGACTGCCACTTGGACGGCTTTTGGCGTCAGCTTCCCATTGGTCCCGGGGGCAAGGATGACTTTGTGGCCGGTCGCTTCAATGGCCCCTGCCTCCTTGCTTGAGATGTGGCCTGACGTCGCTGCAATGACGGCTTCGTGTGGTCGGAGACAAGAAGCTATTGATATCAAATTGGCGGGGGTCCCTCCTGTGACGAAGAAAACCGAAGCATCCTCGACACCGATACTCTCTCTGATGAGTGACCTGGCCTGAGTGCAAAATTCATCATTGCCATAACCTGGCTGTTGTGAGAGGTTGCTTCTGGCAAGGGCTTCTAGGATCCTAGGATGTGCTCCCTCGCCATAGTCATCGGCAAAACTTCGCTTGACCATCACTCTAGGCACGGCGTTTCTTCTTGGATCGACGCAGCTGAGAAATGACAAGGACCCTGCCATCACGGTCTTCGCACAACAGGCCAAGCCCGTTGTTTTATGGGGTCACGTGCTATACATTTTCAGTCACGTGCGCTGATAAGTCATCACGGCTAAAGACGGCAATCCGCGACGGCAGCGAGTCTTGACTCGGGCTGCGGCGGTTTTCGCCATCACACACTCAATCAGTCAAAAGAGTTGTTCATTTCCCACCCCACCATCTCTGAGGATTTCTTCTCGTACAAGTACGACAACCAAACCCCTCCATCAAGTCCCCCATCGGCATTTGAACAATCACCGTCCTTGGTCCCCCATTTTGGACCACTTGGATCGGAGAAGACTCCGCCAGTTCCCTCAAGTCGGAGACTCTCTTTTCCCGCAACAACCGCGGGGGTGATTCCAGGGTTCAATGTTATCCCGATGAACAGCGGCCACACAAGGGAATCATCGGGCAAAGAAAGTTACACCGTGGGGCCTTGAAGAGATGTCGACGGTTGGTACTGTTTCGCAGCTTCACTTTACTCTTTGGTAGGTGATTTGATTTCCATCTTCTCTAGCTATTTCGTTTCCCTACGCACACATTTCAACCCAAACCACAACAATACTCGTACTTTCTCCGACTCAGAAAACAAAAATGGCCAAGGCAACTCACATCATCCGCTTCATCGCCAACGAGGACAACAGAGTCCATCTCGGCCAACTCAAAGACACCAGCCGAGATGTCGGTCTCGACACCTTTGAGGGCAAGAAGGTCGAGGCATACCTGATCAATGGTTCCATCTTCACTCCCGAGGTTACCTCGATCGTCTACACCGTCAAGCAATTGCTGTCACCGGTGTCGATGGAAGACTGCAACTATATCCGATGCTTGGGTTTGAACTACAAGGACCACGCGAATGTGAGTGGCCTGCAGAAAAAAACAAATCTGCGAGAAATCAACTTCCCCAGTACTGATTGTGAATGATCACAGGAAGCGAACATGGCCCTCCCAAAAGCCCCCATCCTCTTCACGAAACCGCGTACCGCTCTCGCCGACCCGTACCCGGCTGCTATCCCCGTCCCCAAGGCCGCGCAGGATGGAACTTCGGATTACGAGGCGGAACTTTGCGTCGTGATCGGCAAGACCGGTCGTGACATTCCTGAAGACAAGGCTCTCGACTACGTTCTCGGGTACACCTGCAGCAACGACGTTTCGGCCCGGACGATGCAGATGTTGACCACACAATGGTCCTTCTCCAAAGGTCTGGATGGAAGTTGTCCCCTCGGACCGGTTTTGGTCACCAAGGATGTCATCCCCGACCCTCAGACTTTGGACATCAAGGCCATCTACAACGGAAAGACCGTCCAGGACGGTAACACCAAGTATGTTTCTTCTTGCCTCGACCAAAACCAAAGTGACAATTTTATTCTGACCCGTGTCTCTTGTGTACAGGAACATGATCTTTGACATCAAGAAACAAATCAGCTACTTGTCCCAAGGTACCACCTTGGAGGCCGGCACCATCTTCCTGACCGGTACCCCCGCCGGCATCGGTTACTTCCGTCAACCCAGGGTCGTCCTGGAGGACAAGGGTGACATCAGGGTCGAGATTGAAAAGATTGGTACCTTGATCAACAAGGTTCACTATGAACAGATGTGAAAGGACACTCAGAAGGAAGTCTCGGTAGTTTTGAAAAAAAAAAACCCCATCTAGATCAAGAGGTTGTGCTCTCTGCTTTGTGTGATGGACTTTTTCGCTCTGGTGTAAATACCCAACTAGAAGGCCATTTTTCTCAAAATGAATCAATCTATCCGATCCAGAAATTGCAACGGGATTGCCGTCCGACTCGGTGTACAGAACCAAAGTACAAGCGTATGCAGTGGTCTCGGTGTTTTGTGTGAACGTGAGCGTTGGTCTAGGGAACGGATTCTATTTTTGGAATGTAGAAAGCTTCTTGAACTTGTGTGTTATGTGATTTGGATAGACCACCAATCGCCTCGTTGGTCGGATCAAAGAAAATGAAAAAAAGACTACTCAAATACTACTTGCTACCTTTCGTGGCCCGCCCTCATGTCAATATCAATCTGTACTTTGAATTCTCTTTTTCCGACTTTGCTTGAACAAGGCGCCATCACGCCTCTTTCTCCCTCTCTTTCGGTCCGAAATCATTCACCCCAAAAGGGGGACATTCCTTTTCAAATGTTCAACGTCCATCTCTCTCTCTCTCTCTCTCTCTCTCTCTCTCTCTCTCTCTTTCTCTGTCGTGCAAATCGTCATGGGGATACATGTGTTTGTGTGAAAAAATACGTGTGTCTCTTTGTGTAGGAAAACGACCGTGTGTGTCGTCGAAAAGATTGTTTCCCAACCTCCCACCGTGACCCTGTCCTCCATTCCACATGTACAACACTTTCTTCGTCGGCGGTAGTGGTGTCGGTGGAGATGGCGGTTATAGTCGGTATTGGCCCTTGTCCGATGAGTGACTGAGTGACTGAGTGACTGTTAATTAGGTGACTTCGATTTACTCCAAAAACTCGGTAGGGACGTCAGGACCCCATACGGCCAACCCTTCGTGACCGGCGGGTCCATAGCCCATGGGCGTGTCGATGTTGACGAGGTCACCATCGGCGTAATGTTCCACCATGAACCCGTTGATGTCCCACCAGTAATCAAAGATTTGCGACCCCAGGATGTGTCGACCGACCCCCCACACCGGGGTGTATTTCTTCTCGGCCAACCATTGGTGGCCGAGGGCCTGAGTGTCGAAGTCGTGAACCTCGTAGGACGAGTGGTGGACATGTTTTTCGACCCCCGGGGTCAAAGTGGTCATGAAGAAAGTATGGTGATCCACGAGATCTTGACCTCGATCGATCATGGCGAAAAGAGCAACCTCCTTCCGGGCGGGTCGATTCGTCTCGGGATCGATCTTGTCCAATGGCACGTACAAAATGTCCGACGGGACAATGTTGAAGTGAGTCGTGTACCACGTCATTTGTGCAGGGAAATCTTGTACGTTGAGACCGAAATGACCGAGCTGAGAAAGGAGAGGTTCAATTGTCAGCGTGTCATTTCCACAACGAGGGTACAGTTTGAGTGATCAATCAGCAAACCCCAAAGGAAAAAAAAAACTAAAAAAAACTCACCTTGTGAACTTCTGCCGGTCCAGGATCGAACCTCTGAAAAGCCTTTTGTCTCGGTTTGTCGACCTCGTCGTTCAATTTCAGTTTTGCCGGTTTCGCACGTTCTTCCTTGACGGGCGCTTGACCCCAGACGAAATTGACCAAGAATCCTTCGGGGTCGGCGATGGTGACGATGTATCCACCCCCTGGGGCGTCCTTCATCTCTTCGATCCCGTTTGACACGACGGTGGCACCGGGCAATTTGAGGACCTTTTCGAGTTCTTCACGAGATTCGACCTCGAACGATCCTCCCAAGTACTTTTTAGGTCCCTCTTTGGCGTAATAAACGTACTGATCCGGTCCGTAACCCCTGAACCAACGCTCACCGTCACCCTTTTTCGTGACGTGCATACCAAAGTCTGAAGAGTCAGCAAGGCCTTGCGCAGGACGTTGTGGTTCAAGGGGGGGGGGGGGTGGGAGGAAAATCAAAAACTTACCCCTCAAGAATGTAGTGATCTTATTCAGATCTGGATGTTGATACCTCATGTGATTCAACTTGACCAGTCTGACTTGTTTGGTTATGTCGATACCACGTTTCTTTTGCCAATCTCTCTTGTTGTCACAATCCGGACCAACCGCGTCGACATCACGGAGTGATTGACCTCGGTTAGGTGATGGACCACGGGAGATGGTACCGTTTGATGGCTATAAAGTGACGTTAGTACACACCAAGGAAACAAACACGAGAACACGAGACGTAGTTTCTTTTCTGATGGACCGTCAGGGACGTACATACCTTTTCATTTTGTACCTTTTCCTCGGTAAGGTTGTGTTTGAGGTCGTCGAGTTTATTCATTTTGATGGTTGTTGTTGCAGTATTCTTTCACTTGCTAGTTGTTTTCGGCAGTTGATGTAAACGGTGTCGGCTCGGCCACCTTTGGTTATACTTGATCGCCTTTGACTCGAGTAAAGATGTGTCGGGCAAAAGACACCAGGTCCTGATTGATCGTGTCACCGTGGTCGACAACTCCTCAACAAGTTATTACGAGTGGTAGAGTAGTGTCTTTTTGTGTAGGTAATGTGCAAGTGACAATAATATCCCGAGGAGGTAATGGGAAGTGAAGTAAATAAATGGATGATGATGATGATGATGGATCTTAGAGAAAGCGGGTTTCCCCACAATCATGGAGATTTTGATACCAGGTACTGCGTTGAACTCGTAAAACAATCACACCAGATGGGTGGAAAAATGGAAAGGGTAATACGGACAAACACCACACTCGATCGTTTTCAAGGCTACCTACGAATAGGTCAATGACGGGTCTACGAACGCCCTGTTTCTAGGCCCTACCCCCAACGTGAACATGACAGTGAGGACCAGGTTACTGTAGGACTGGCAAAAAGACCGTGGTTTACCGTCTCCATTTTTTTTCATTCTCACTCCGTATGACTTTTCGGGATCACTCCAAGCATACTTGACGGAGTCTCGGTTTAATACCTGCCTGTACCTTGGGCATTGTGACATGGAGAGCACATTGTACTTTGTTAGGTCAACATCATTCACAAAGTGTCCGAAGACGATGCGTGAAGCCATACAAGGACAGGTTTACATGTCAGTTCGTAAGGTAGGGTCACAAGTCCCAGAACTCTCAGTTTCGAGGCATTGAAAGAATAGCCCCACGAAGTTTCTCTAGTTCTTCAAGCCAGGATCAAAGTGTCAAGTTTACGAGTTCCATGGATCCAATCAATGTGGGGTCAAGTGTTTTGTGGTCGGGTGGTGAGTTCGGCTTCAGAGGTGGGACAACTTTTTTTGACCGTACTGTCCTCGTTGATACGGTCCTTACCTAAATACATACCGGCTATCGAAGTGATGGATGTATGTTCATATTAGTACAGTACCTGCTGTTTAATCTGTTCCCTGTGCGAGAAAAGGAGGGCGATCAAAAAGCCAGTCACTGTAAGAATCCCAGTGATGGATGGTGGGGTCAATTACTGTACTGTACAAAACATAAAATGTTCCTATTAGGGCAGGAGATGGAAGTGAGGGGTTCAGACAAGATATGATAAGATAATAACAATAACGATATGATAAGATTGATGTCGGATGTCTGTGACGGACAAAGATCAAGACATTTCTAGGACTTACACTCTGTAATACCGGATGCAATCAATCCTTCATTACTACTCATTCAGATCATCCCACATACGTATATACAGTCATTACTTCCACATCCTCTCTCCAACTGTTCCCATGCCTCCTCATGAACAGTCTTTCCTTCTTCCTTTTCTCTCTCCCCTAATAACTTGTATTCTTCATGGTCGTAAATGGTCCCACGGTGCCCAAATCGGGGATCCGACCCAACAAGAACTCAAGATGCCTGTAGGCCGCGCTGGGGGCATACTGAGGAATCATGTGACCCGACAGTTGAACCGTCACCACGGTCAAACCTCTCTCGGTGTGGTACTGACCCATGTGTCCTGCACCGGCCAGGTCGCCCAACTGATTGCTGTACGAGACGTGGTAAGGGACATAGAAATCATCCCACTCTGCGGGTGGAACCGAAAACCCTTGTCCTCCGTTGAAGGTCATGTTCTGAACTGCAACCAAAGTTCCGTTGAAGATCAAAACCATGTCGATGAGTCCATGGCCGATGATGACACGGTCGGCCTTTTCGATGACACCTGGCAACACGCTCAACGTCGATGGTGTAGACGTGTCCGTGTTGTTGACAAACACCGGGTTGGCACTGCATTCGTCCCAGGGTTGGATCGGCGCGTGAATGGCCTTTTGCACGTCCGTCCGGTTGAAGTAGATGCTGGCTCCTTCGGGGAGATAGTCAAACGAACCGGGGAAACCCAGAACGTCCCAAAGCACAGGGCACGTCGTGAAGATTTGGTAGATGTCAAAGCAAGGGTTGACCTCGGAGATGGCATTAACTAAAGAATCAAAAGTGTCGCAGCTGTCGTCGTCGAGGTCGACGTTGGGAGGCGTGGGGAGGGGACCTTTGGGTGGGAACGTCAACGCCTCCTCCAAAAAGGACGTGTAGCCACAAGTGTCTGACATGTTGTTCAGTTGAGCCATGTAAGTCTTGTTCAAGGAGAGTGCGTCGGCCCAGTAGTTCGCAAACGCCGCGGCCGGGAGTTGTTCTTGGACCACGTCGTAACTCAGACTAGGGTCGTAGATCATGATGGAACTGATGTTGTAGTATTCCGTGTCGTTGGCGTTGAACATGGCATCCGCGATGTAGGGCACGTAGTAACCCGCGTAGGACTCGCCGGTGACATAGACAGTGTAACCTTGCATGGAAAAGGTCTTGACAAAGTTCTTGAAGAATCCCAAAAAGTCCGCTGCCACGTCGGCTTCTGAGGTCGCGTTGACTTTACCTTGAGTGAAACCGGTTCCCACGGGTTCTGTGACGCGAGCACACATTGTTAGCTTAGATGTGTCGTGTTGCAGGCATTAGACCTGGCCTAACTTACGTTCCACCCAGACCATGTTGGTCAGATTGGTCCATGACCAGAGATTTCGTACAGGCTTGTAAGTACCGTATTGCCATAAGAAGGGTCCGTTTTCTGAGCATATCGCGTTAGCAGGCAGAGCTTGATGGTCCTTTCCATGTTTGCTCTCCTAACCTTGTAGGAAGCCCTCTAGAGAACTGCAACCAGGACCACCGTTGAGCCAAATCACAATTTCGTTCTTCGCCGCAGGGTTGGTCGAAGGGAAGAACCACCAAAACAGTTCCGGGGAGTCTTTGGCATCCGAAATGGGTAGAAGACCGGCATAGGATTCGCCGACGTCGAAGTCGACATCTGGGATCGCGCTTCCATTGACGGCGAATTCTGGGTAGGTGTTAGCAAAGAATGTCAGCAGGATCTCGCGGGGACCAGAGGTCATACTTTTGGTGGTGTTTGTCAAGAATTGATGCGAAGCTCGTTTCTCGAGTTGCGGAGTGGCTGGAGCTGCTGCTTCTGCTACTGCTGCCCTCGGTGCAATGTTCCTCTTGGCTTGAGGGAATTGTTTACCGACATGTGCACCTGTTCTCCGCGCTGAAACGGATGAAGCCAGGCCCAGGGCCAAGGTGATGAGGGACAATTTCATGTCTGCGCACGAGGTGATGGTGATGACCAAAAGGACGTAACAACACCTCTACGGTAGGACAGGACAAGCAACAGAGATGAGGAAAACAACAATAAAAAAAGAAAGGCCGGTTGGGATTCGAAGCTTGGATGAGCTTGTCAACAAAACATAGGTACTCACCTACAAACTACTTCGTGCCTGGGTTCAGGAAGCTCATGATGCATGATGCATGATGATGAAGCTACTTCTCCACCTCTGTGGTAACCCTGCGAGTCAGAGAAAGGAAGGTGATTGACTGACGGAGAAAGCGAGAGGCAAAACAGGAAAAGGTACTCGCGTATGCAGTGAAGAGGAGAATCTCGTGGACGGAAAAGGCCGAAGGAGCTTTGGAGCCTGTCCTGTTGAAAGCGGTTGGAATGAAGATGAGAATGCTACCTTGCGATGGTGAGAAAGGTAACTAGGTTGCTAGTTGCCTCGTAGTATCGTAGTACCCGTGAGAGCCCTATCAACACCATGACGCAGTAGATATGACCGGAATGATTGCTGATTTGACGGTCCGTAATGAATGGATCTGCACTACGAGTACGAGGGAGGGAGCACGAGACAGGGGTGTTGGAAAAGCCGGGGGAAGCTTGTGTTGCTAGTCGTGGGATGCTTATCGCTGGTTATGATTCGTGTACCTTGTGCGGAACACGACTGAACTAGTTTGAGAGAAGAAAGTCGAGCTGGGGCCAAAGAGTACAACAAACAACCCTTGACCCATAAGGGAAGGTCAATAACTACCAGAACATTCCGAAATAACCGAACGTGTTGTTCTTTGACTGGCTCGAGATAAATTTTGAACTGATCACACATGACGGAGTGAAAAGAAAATCGACAGGCTGGATCTCATGACCAATCTGTCCATGAACAGGGCGTTGATATAGGGGCCAGGTATTCTCAGAAGAATGCATTTTGACAAAGTCATCCCAGCAGTATCTCGGTCTTGCCTTTGGATAAACGGTCCCAAATAACTTTAGGGATCCGAGCGAGACCTTGTCGCTCACAGTACGTCCCTTGGCGCTGTGTTAAGATGGCGTTGTAATACTCATAAGAGGTACGTAGTAGACAGGTCCTGTACGAGTACTGCTCACACAATCAGGTAGGGCACGCTGTATCAGGAACAAGATACCAGGTACTGTACACTACATTTCCGTCCCTGATCTTCTCAAGGATGGTATCGCATCAAGGTCCCAGAGGAATTGAACAGTCATCTTCATGAATACTCCATACTCAGGATTACCTCTGATGGACTTGTACGTACAAGTACCGTCTACGCGGGAATAGCCATTCCATCACCCCTCAAATCACTTCCACCGCTAAACACAGCCTGTCCCGTCTCTTCATCAACATGTCTTCTGATAATCTGCCCTCTTCCAAACCTCCCTCGTTTCCAACCATTCACGACCTCGACATCATGACCCATCTTCTTCAACACCTTGACCACTTCGTCGTCGATTCCTTCCTCCAGATACACAACATTCATCTGCTTCTCCCCATCCTCCGGCATTCCCGCACCGAGACAGATCCTCGGTGCGTCCAGTGCCTGTTGAGGATTCATGCCAAACACCTCCATGTTGAGCAACACCTGAACGTGGCCTTGTGGCTGCATGAACCCTCCCATGACACCATACACCGAATGCAACTGTCTCTCAGCTGCGTCTCCGTGGGTGATCATTCCGGGAATGATGGTATGGTAAGGTCTCTTTCCGCCCTGGTAGACGTTCGGATGGTCATCTGGCGCCAAGTCAAAGTTCGACCCCCGGTTCTGCAGCGTAAACCCACACCCTTGCGGGATGATACACGAGCCGAACCCTTCGTAGTTCGAATTGATGAAACTGCACCCGTTGCCATCCTTGTCCGCGACGGCAAAGTACACCGTGTCACTGTGGTTCTGGGCTGGACTGCGCGGTTTGCCATGCGCGTGATCGACGGCTTTTTCCGGATTGAACAGTTTCGCCCGCTCAGCCAGGTATTCTCTCGAGATCAATTCCGCAGACTTGACTGGCATGAACTCGGGATCCGTTACCCACCAGGCTGCATCCGCAAAGGCGATCCGGAGGGCTTCAATCACCGCATGTAGGTACGAGGCGCTGTTGTGATCTTCCAGAGCAAACGTCTGGATCTTGCCAGTCCGTTCCAGCTCCTCCAGAATCCCCAGGGCCATCAGGGCAACAATCCCCTGTCCGTTCGGAGGATGTTCCCACAGCTCGACAAAATAGTCCCCCGCATTGTCCGCCAACCGGTGCGGTCCTTTGTTTTTGACATTCTGACCTCGGAACTTGAGCGAGATGGCTTCAGGCTCATCTGCGCCGCGGTTCATATGGTCTTCCAGATCCGATAATTCCACGAACCCGCCCGAAAACCGAAGAACGTCGACGATGCTCTGCGCGATCTTGCCCGTGTAGAAGCCCTTCTTCCCCTCCGCCGCCACGGCCCTAAACGTTTGCGCCAGGCAAGGGTTGTGCATGATCTCACCTGCCCTTGGGGCCCGGACGAACTGATCCGCCTTCTTATCTCGTTTCAGCATCTCTCGGAAATTCGGCGATGCTCGTTTCAAATCCGCTTCACCTGCTTGCCACTATTTCACACACTCTCATCAGCTCTATTCCCGTCGCTCTTGTGGTGATACGTAAGACTTACAAAGCTCGCAGCAAATTCACTGACAGGAAACCCTTCCTCACCCAGCTCAATCGCGGGTGTGAGGATCTGTTCCATACTGACCTTCCCACTACCAAACTTGGCAATGGTGTCGACCCAACCTGCCGCCGCACCTGGCACCGTCACAGCGAGTGCACTGTGGGTAGGTATATTTCCGTTCTTCTGGCCCAGCTCTTTGCGTACTTGTTCGACCGAGGTATTCTTCGGACTCCTACCGGATCCATTCAACGCGTGTACTTTTTTGGTTTTGGCGTCGAAGAACAAACAAAACATGTCTCCTCCTATACCGGTCGACGAGGGTTCGGTCATGTTTAACGCAGCAGCTGTACCGGAGGTGTTAGTGTTGTCTGGTTATGAGGGTGTGGGTGGGCGAGGTATATCGTACCGACTGCGACTGCGGCATCCTAAAGGGAAGAAAGCGAATATTAGACATGTTTCTGGGGGGGAGAGAAGATCAAGCCTTTGGTAGAATACATACAGCTGCGTTCCCACCCATCTTCAATATTCTCTGTCCTGCCTCGGCTGCTAGAGGTTGCGTACATGCCACCATACCCTTCGTACTGTGCACCACACTGCGCCTACTTGCGAATTGCACAAACGGTGGACTGGTGCTAGGGAAGACGGCCTCGGCCTTGAATGATTGCGTAGTTGAACCCATTGTTGTCGAGTTTCAAGGTATGGCTGTCGCTATCTTGAGAGGAGGGGTACCAGTCGAATCGATCTGATCCTTAATCTCGTGTGTCCTTGGTCGAGATTTGTTCGATCGAAGAGAGAGGAAAGCAGGAAAATGACAAGAAGGGAAGTACAACAAGTCCCTACCTCAGGTGCCGAGTCTAGTTTGGTTCTCCGCCTTTGATATACTTTCGAGTAATAGTACGAGGAGGGACAGAGAGAATGAATGAGTTTGGCAGATTATTTACCCGGGGAGCGAAATAAATTCATAGCATTTGAACGCGTGAGGGGCAAGATTCATCATATATCAATTGGACGAGTACGCCGTACAGGATGTACAGTAATTGATCGCCAGGGTTTTCGAATCATCCCTGTACAAAAGAGAAGATCCATTGGCTTGTCTTCTTTCAGGAAGACCATCAAACTTGTTCCATTCTGGCAGGTGAAAAGGCCATAGAATGATGCCGGCAACATCGCCATCGGCACAATAGCCGGTCGACCCTCTAACGGCTTGTTGAAGGACTTGTCCGTATCGATTGCGGGGAGTTGACAAAGATAAACGATAACGATAACGATAACGATAACGAGAGCGAGAGCAAGCGGGCAAGTATTTACGGGACAAAAGAATGCGGCGATTCGAACTAGGAGGTCAGTCCATCTCATCGACGACCACCTTGCCAATACAGCCAACCTAGACCTCAAATACTTCACCTCAGGTACCTATAGGTAGGTACTCAAAAGACAACCACCTCTTCTCTATAAGGCACAACCATCACGTCCCCAACCAACCCATAATCCACGACAGGAGGTAATAATGCACCACCTGCACCTGGACTCCCAGGGCCAGTTCCACTGGTCTCCAAGTCAAACCAAATAGGTCTCATAACATTCCCCAACGGTGTAGCAACAATTACTTCCACCGTATTCACACCTTCAACCAACAATGTCTTGATGTCGGCCCGCGGTCTCGTCACGTCCAACGGAGGCAATTGAACCCCATTCACCCAAGCCCGGAGGGTGTGTACGATGAAGCCAAAGTCTATGATGGCTCCGGTGGCACTGCCTATACTTCCCACTGACGATCCAGAAAACGGCCAAGTAAACGTCGTATTATAATACCCCCTTCCAGACACGTTTTTCAGTCCGTCAATCTCTTGCCACGATCCCAACTTCTCAAGGTGATGCGTCGTATTGTGTTTCTGAGTGCCCGTAGATATTTGCATGTCAGAAGGAGGATCCCAATGTTCAACCACGAGTGTCCAATTTGACAGTCCCAAACTCGACGAGCTGCATGGTTGAACTGATTTTGTCTCTCCCGAGGACGTGGTATACGTCTGTTGTGTCGGCCCTGGCCCGACCTGAAGAACAATATTGCCGCCGCCACTGCCACCATTACTGGAATTCGCACTGGAGGTTGTCACCTCGAGTATCCCAGACGATACATCAGTCAAATGGCCGCCTGCTCCTGTATGACTCGCGTTGTCGGACGGCCCAGCATGAAAGGCAACGATGGTCGACTGGCTCCCAGCCAACGTGAATGGAATGGTGGTGCTCTCATTGTCTTGCGTGTACGTCACGATCGGCTCTTGCTTCCCAGTCCACGCATCATACTCGTAAGGTGTTCCAGTGACATTATTGAACCTGATCGTACCAACAGTATATCCTTGTCCGTGACGATCGTCAATGGCGTCGTTGTAGACGAAAAAATAATCCGTGTCGGTGGCATCATCCCTTCGCCACAATGTGTACCATGATCCATTACTGCTGACATTCGTCGTGGGATAAATACCCATCGAGGCCAAGGTCGTGGTTAGTCCGTCGTAAGACTGAGTGACAAGCACATTACTCAGCGACGACGACAATTCCTCCAGTGTTTGTTTGGCAGTGCTCTGCAGACTAGAATTCCCCGTCATCGCCGTCCCCAGAACCGTCGTAGGAACACCTCCCGAGAATACGATGGGCAACCCAGAGTGTGCGAAATCGACCAGTCGTTCAACACCACTAGCAGTCAACGAATCATTCGCCCGCACGACCATTGCTTTGAACCCCTGTGCATCGGGAGCAAGTATACCGTCCTCTACTTTTGCAGAAGGCAGGTCCAGGTTGTCGGGACTGAGGTATTCATAAGTATACCCTCCCTCTTCGAGATCCGTGGGTTGATACGTCCTCAGCTGGATGTGTCCCGGATACGTCGTCATTTTCTGCCAAAACGCAACGTCGAACTTGGGCACTCCGGTCTGCAGGATGAAATTGTTTCGGGCGATGAAATCGATTTGATCCCTATAATATTCCCAACCAGGATCGCTGGGTCCATGCATGTTGGAGTACTGATAGTTGAATGTGGTGAAGACTGGCCAAGTTGTATTTCCGTACTAGAATTTGCACAACGCCACAAGTGTGAGTATCTCGAATATAGCAGAAGACTCGTTACAAGGATTGTAGAACTCATTATGACAACAGATGGGGTAAGGGTGACGACTTACATTGCCAGAATAAGGAAACCCATGAAAAACGAACTGATTCACACCTCCCGCGTAGGACCGTTTGGCATGCCACATCAACTCTGGAAGCAGTTGGGCATACGCCTCGCCACGTACGGCGCCACATTCAGAAGAGACAATCCGTCGTCGTGCAAGGTTGGCCGGACCTGCGTACTGTCGATAGCCATCGATCAAATCGCTAAAGTCGAGGGATTCGCATTCGGGTGCGTCGACACTGGGGATATTCGCGAGCTATATACAGTATTCTGATTGTTAGCCATTCGAAACAACTTTCCACCTTTCGAGAAGATGCTTTTACTCGTCCTTACCATGTCCATTGGCATATTATAAGATACTTGTGCCGAGAACTGTATATCGAGATACTCCTCCGCCCATTCGTTCAGGCCCGTCAGGTACGCATGGTATTGCTTTGCAAGCTGTATTCAATGATGGCACACCAACATCCGGTCAGTCTCGAACAACAATTATAGAGAGATGGTGTTAGGTGAATCTCACGGTCTCTCGATAGTCTGCCGTCCGACTCTCCCCTGCATCAGGAGCGTCCGTAACCCACCAAACGGGAGGATTCGACTCCTTCGCGTGACCGTTTCGATGGAACAGCGTCGGAAGCCACTTGTTGATGGAATATCCGTGGTCCTTCTCAAATTGTACCGAGAAACTCCTTGTCCAGAATACATTGGCTTCGATCTCGACGCTGTCCTCCCAGCCATAATTCCCGACTTGCATCAACAGCTCCCTGGTGCCGTTGATCAGCACGTACTCTTCCCAGAACTTGGTGATCGTTTGGGCTCCCTGAGAGGAGAAATGGTCTGCGGCCCACGATCCATTTTGGACAAAAGACTTTGCGGGTGTCTGTGGACCACCTAGGTCATCCGGTCCGTCTTGCGCTCGGTAGTCAGAGTGGATGAGGTAGATGGCAAAGATGGTGTTGTTAACACCGCCACCACCACCACCACCACCGACTGTAGTATTGGCGTCGGCAGCATCAAACGTCACAGACACGTGGCCGTCTTCATCCACCATGTTAGTGATATCCCGGAGACTCTCTTCGGAGAGGGTGATTTGAGTGCGATTCATAGGTAAATCACCAGGCAAGCTAGGCTCTAGGGTGTTAGTCAGATACTCCGTCTTGATAGCCAGACCAGTGATGGCCGCTTGCAACGTCCCAGTGCCCCAACCAGGGAGGGTTCCGTTGAACGATCCTCCGGGTGCTGGTGTCGATACATTGAAAGCCACAAGGTCCCACGCGAGACCATCGCTGCCTTCGGGCGCGGGAACGCCAGTTCCTTGATTAGGTCCAATGGCAAAGTCCATGATCAGGTCATTGTCTTTATGAGCTTGCGCGAACGCTTGGACAAGACTGTCTGTGATTGACAAAAGTCAGTACATTGGTAGTTGTATCATTCGGCCTTTCAATATTATTGTCACACGTACGCCATGCTGGAGTGCCAAACCCGTACGTTGCCCAATCCACAGGCGCGGAGTCTCCCCTCCCTGCACCATTACTGGGAGGGCCACCGTAGAGATAGTATCCCAGTAGCTCCAGACCAGCAGCACCAATGTCGCCCGCAGCTTGGACGTCGTCGGCAACAGTATCCAGATCAACGGATGCGTCTGGGGTCCAGTACCGAAATTTAGGGCGGACATTAACAGACGGGTTGCCGAATGTACCCTTGTCTACCACGGCATTTGTCGAAGGGTCTGTGTGATTGTTTGGCAACGCTGTGACGGGAAAGACGCAGAGGAAGATGACCAGTACGAAACTACACAAGACCTGTTAGATGTTAGTAGAGAGTTCGTCTCGATATACCGGCCGTTGGAAGTTTACCCCCGTCATCATTTTGGAGTATTATAGCTTTCTCAACACTGTAGGAGAACAAGGGAGGTCATCGGCGTGATGTTTTGGTCATGGCTAACGCGAGGATTGCAAACTTCTGCTGTCCATGAAGACGAGGAACCATCCGACCTCGACGAGCCTGTTCGTAACGACACAGATGGGTGACGTCGGAAGGTCATTGTACCGAACGGTCAGTGTCCGAGTCTTCTCAGACGAAAATACTCTGTATCTGGAGAAAACTCTACGACAATGAAACTCAAAAGAGGAGAGGATGATCGTATGAAAAATGGTACAGTTGCAGTCCCTTTGGCTAGACCATGAAGATCTACTGATGCATGCCATGATGAAGTTGCGGGGAATGGGTCATGGTTCGGGCTAGAAACGACCGAGGAAGACACGGCAACGAGACGCTTCTTCTTTGTAGAATGAAACAAAAACAATTTGCAATTTCTGATATTGAGATAGTGATCTTTTAAAAGAACGCTTCAGTATAAAAAGCATCTTAAAGAATTCTTCGCTGTTACCATGTCCCTTCATGTGGCTTGTATACATCACACCAACATGTTAACCATACAAATAGTCCAGTTCTCTCAGCCAAATCGATATATAATGAATGCGCCGTGCTGATACACCTGACCTTCGTGAGAAATCTGTGTAGTGCTGTCTCTGCTTGGAGAGATACTCCGTCCTAGTTACAATTCCACCTGTTGATGATACAAAAGAAAAACTCATGCTCTTCCGGCAATCGTGTTGACCACCTTCTCGATGATCCCCATCCTCGGTTCCTCGTAATACCTTTGGCTTCGTGAGCTGGAGTGTCTGTCCATACGTGGCCGGTCACTCGAGTGTCTATGTCGACGAGAGCTTTCTTCGCCAGCGCTGTTCCTGTCGTGATCTGATTCATGGCTCCGATGACGATGTTCGCGATGACTTCTCCTTGGTGGTTCTGGGTCATTGACTCGGAGAAATAACAAAGCCTTAGTGTCGCTCTCCCCAGTTCCCAACCTTCTCAAAAGCCCAGGGATACCACCAGATCCGGAGTTGCTCCCACCACTGTTAGAATCTCCATGGCTAGGTCGTCGAGTTCTTCTCGACTCGCCTCCCTCCTCGGCTCCCGCAGCTGCTTCTTCCCCTTCTCTTGCCCTTCTTTCCTCTCTCTCTTGGCGCCTCCGAGCGCGTTCCGCCTCGGCTCTAGCATTAATTTCATCGGAGACTCTTCTTTGTCTTTCCCTTTCTTCGTGGCGCTTCCGTCTTTTCTCTTCTTTCGCTGCTGCCTCTTCAGCCTCCTGCTGTGCCCGTGCGGCCTGTTCGGCCTCCCGGCGTGCATCATTCCTTTCCCGTTTCTCTCTTAATTTTTCCTTGTATTCTTCCGATCCGTGACGCGCAATCTCTTCTTCCTTGGCCTTGGAAATCTGTCTAGCAAGAGCGCTGTCAAAGAGCCCGGCTTCGTCTTTCGTTCTCTCTAGTTTCGCCCTGTGACCGTGCAGATCAAGGCCATTCGATTCACGTCGAGTATGACGCCGCCGCCTGTGGACCCGGCTAGCAGCGCCTACAGCAGCGCCAGCAGCTCCTACAATGGCTGCAGCTGCAACATCTCCAGCATCAAGACCCCCTTCATCAACCGTAGGGTCTTCGACGGCGGGATCCTCGACTGCAACTTCATCGACGGTATGTGCCTCGGCAGCAGCAGGCTCTTCAGCTGGCGGCTCCTCTGCTGCAGGCTCCTCAGCAGGAGGGGCATCTTCCGCCGGAGCAGCTTCATCGGAAGCAGGGGATTCTTCAGCGGCAGGTTCTTCAGCGGCAGGTCCTTCAGCGGCAAGTTCTTCGGCGGCAGGTTCTTCGGTGGCAGGTTCTTCGGTGGCAGGTTCTTCGGTGGCAGGTTCTTCGGTGGCAGGTTCTTCGGTGGCAGGTTCTTCGGTGGCAG